ATATATATATATATATATATATATATATACATATATACATATATACATATATACATATATACATATATACATATATACATATATACATATATACATATATACATATATACATATATACATATATACATATATACATATATACATATATACATATATACATATATACATATATACATATATACATATATACATATATACATATATACATATATACATATATACATATATACATATATACATATATACATATATACATATATACATATATACATATATATATATATATATATATATATATATATCTAATATATAAAGCTCAATTCTGTAACGCATATGTTTGTCGTTGGCATTTCTACGGATTTAAGTGTTAGATCAATTATCGTGCGCAGTTGTCTAAATTTATGAGTTAAAAAATTACTATTAAAAGTGTTGGGAAATCATTTTCATTTTTCAAATTATAGTAATAATTGTCGGCATGTTCATTAAACACAAGTTTTAAAAAAATATCATCTTTTACAAAAATTCTAATTATGTTTTTATTTAGTCCTATAGCGCTTACTTCCCTTTGATAAATTAGGCAAAACACAATTACTTCCCTTTATAAAACCATAGCATTAGTTGAAAAGCATTTACTTTTTAATTACTTTGTTTTGGTGTTGGGAAAAAAATAATTACATAATTAGCGGGGATTGATCAAGTGCAAATGTTTTAGGTATTTTACGGATAAGCTTGGAGTATTATAATTGTTCATTAAATTGAAACAGGCGCGTTCGTTTAAGTGAGTGCAAAAACTATGAATAAGTTGGGGTACTATAGTCGTTTATTAAGCTAAAACAGGCGATTCTGCCCCGGGCGTTTATGTTCGCGTTAGTGTTTTCTTTGTGTTTAGGTGGGTTTGCGTTAGTGGTTGCGTTTTGATTTGGTTCGTTTTTGTTCTTTCTTTTTTCGTTTTTGTTTGTGTTTTTTTTTGTTTGGGTTTGTATTTGTGTTTTTGGTTGGTTTTGCGTTTGGATTTGGTTTGTTTTCGTTTGCTTTTTCGTTGTTTTTTTTTTGGTATTGGTGTTTGTGGTTGGGTTTGTTGTTAGGTTTTTGTTTTCGTTTGTTTTTTCTTTGTGTTTGTATTGGTGTTTGTGGTTGTGGTTGGGTTTGTTGTTAGGTTTTTGTTTTCGTTTGTATTTCTAATTGTGTTAGCGTTATGTTTGCGTTTTGTTGTTTTGGTTGGTTGTGGTTTGGGTGGGCAATGCCGGGTTTATGATGATTTCTAAACACACAGGTAATGGTCTTTAACGGAAAGGTTTTTCACAGAAGCCAGAGCAGGGCCTGGCCGGGACGGCTAGTATATATATATATTTTTACACATATAACATTTCTCAGTGAGTTCAAAGGCATTATTCTCAATGTGCTCAAATGATGATTCAAATTCATTTCTCCAGCTTGTCATCTTTTAAAATAAACCGGGAGTGATCTCCCCTAAACTTTCTCGAATATTCTCATATAACACTACGGGGGATGTCAACTCGGGATATAGACAATATTTTAAACCATTTTAAATTACTTAAACTTTTTAAAATAGAATATAATCTCGTAGAAAAAAGAATTGCACACCAAGTGAACGCTAAACAAAATGTGCGGTATATTATTACTACTTTATAAATTCACATGCGTTTTTTGAGAAATCGGAAATAGCGTAAATTACTACTTCCAGTCAACAGAAATTACTCAAAATTTTACAAAAGGCAGAAAATTAGATCTTTTACTTACATGTGAAATTTCATTTATCTATCTGAAATAGTACTCAAGTTATAGGCTTTTGAAAAATTCAAAGTAGAAAAAGTTCCATTCGGGCATATGTCGCATTCGGGCAAGTGTCCATTCGGGCATTTGTCGCATTCGGGCAAGTGTCCATTCGGGCATTTGTCGCATTCGGGCAAGTGTCCATTTGGGAAATCGCCCTTCAAGCAAACGGCATTCGGGCAAGTGTCTTTCGGGAAAACGTCCTGCTCCCATATATATATATATATATATATATATATATATATATATATATATATATATATATATATATATATATATATATATATATGGGCGCGATTGGATTCTTCTCTATATACGGTATATTAAAAATAAAAGTCGTTTTCGGTTATACAGCAATGTATACGTGTGTGTGTTCGTCTGTCTGTTTGTCTTCTATGCATTACTATACTTTTCAGCCGATCGCCATGAAACTTTGGGAGGTATCTGCGAAAAAATATTTCAAAGTGGTGCCCCGAAATGGCGCGATTTGATTCATCTCTATATACGGTATATAAAAAATAAAAGTCAGATGCGGTTCGACGCCGTTCATCCGAGTGCCATGAAACTTTGGGGAGTTGATGAGAATACTCATGGGGAGGTTTCTGAATAGAGAATAATACTTGAAAGTATTACCGATGCAATTCACTAATTAGGAAAACGGGGATGGTATTTAGGGGCCATCTGGCATCCCAAGGTTTTAAACAGTGTAATAGACTATGGATAAGATTGGGGTATTATAGTCGTTAGGTGGCTTTCTGGCAGTGTGCGATTTGACACCCTGGGCTATCCATTTGTAGGAGCACCCTACAATATTGACAGGGTGGCACACAACATTCGATTATTAAACCGAGCCAAGGGCCGTATGCGGCGTCCCTGCGGTTGTATAATCGGGGGCTCCGAGAAGCGCCCCTCTACGTTTCTGACACATGGACGGTCGCCGAAGTGTGTTCTACCTCACTATTACCGTGAGTGATCAACGTACACTCAAGGCTTTGATACAGCACTCCATGGGGCGTGCTGGGCGGTAAAGTAGGTAAACCCTGCCCCGATGAGTATGATCCCAGCGCAGGCATCGTTTACAATTAAATAACTCAGTTTTAGAAAATAAGGTCACACATCTAAGAATATAGGATTGGTAACGCATTGATGAAACCCACCAAATATATTTCGTCAGACTTTCTTCTAACACCGCAGCAACACGCGGTGACGGGCATGTTAGTAATGCCTAAAAAGTAGAAAATAAATGATTTTCTTTAAATATATAATAATACACTGCTATTTAAATAACAATAAAGAAAAGCTTGTAAGAACGTTTTAGTTACAAGCTTTCATGTAATAATGCCCTAAAAAGTAGAAAATAAACGATTTTCGTTAAATGTATAATTATGCACAATTAGGGGTCATCCATAAATGACCTCACGCTTTTTTTTGACGATTTTTACCTCCCCCCTCCCCTCCGTCACACGTCGTCACAAAAAGTCAGACCCCCCCCCCTAAAATGACGTCACACCTCAGCCTACAATCTCCCTCAAAATTGCAGTTGAATTTTTTTTTAAACAGCTATATTTTTCCAAAATCTTGTCTGAACTCTGTCAAAATAGAGTATTTTAATCAATTGTTATTACAATTCATTAAAATAGTTTTCTAAAACGCAAAATAACGTCTAAAATTAGTTTTCTAACATTTCTTTTTTATAATGCAAAAGTGTGACCTCGCACCATCTGAACCCCTTCCCCCCTCCCCCTCATCACACACCGTCACAAAATTGCGGACCCCCCTCCCTCCTACGTGTGTGCCGTCATTTATCTTCCTAAATAGTAGTAAAGTTTACTACTATTTAGGAAGAAACCCACGCTTTTCTTTATAGTTACTTAAATAGTAGTGTATTATTGTATATTATTTATTTTCTACTTTTTAATGTATTATTTCATAAAAGTTTGTTATTAAAACGTTTTTTATGAAAAAAAAATTCAGTTTGCTACTTTTCAGTACTATTATTATTTTTTACTTTCACATGTTTTTTGTCACTGCTTTTCTCTTTGCTGGTCTTTGCCTTTTGCACCAAGCTTTCTTCACTTTCACCTACAAGTCATTAAAAAAGTGTTGAAGAAGGTTTTTTCCTCCCATTAAGAATAGGCCTAATAAGAATGTTAAATTTCATTTATTTTTATGTTGTTGTTATTTCTTATATTATTTTCATTTTAGTGTTTAAATTCTAATAAGTTGAATATATAATTTCCAGGAATTATCTCACCATGATATAACAGAAGTAGTTAAAGAGATTCTAACAACATCAAGAGGTTCAGAATTTTATGTCTTAAAACAAGCCGACCTGGACAATAATGATTTGATCTCAAGCCAAGATGAAGATGATGAATTGTTTAACACAGACGAACATGAGATTGCAACTCCTGGAATGCAAGAACTGAAAAAAAACATGGACATTCCAAAGTCACTGATCAATCAAGCCAAAAAAACGTAGGTGTCTTATTCTCAGTCTGTTTTTAAAGTTTAGTGTTACCTTTTGAAAATATTTGACCCACTACTGCTGGTAATTTTTTCTAGACTATTGTTAAATATTCAGATAAATCTGAACATTTATTGTGTGATGAGTTATCACTAGTGTTGAGACTTGGTCTATTCTTATTTCGTCATATTTATTGTATTGAATAGAAAATTATAAAATATGATTTGATTATATGTAATGTCAATTAAATGTATCAGATATTTTCTTAATTTATTTTTAAAAACTCTACTCAAAAAAACAGAATAAGGCTGAATTTTCTAGAGCAATTAGAAGATTGGCAAGAACAAGCTATACAAAGAGCTGAAAGTATTGAACTTGCTAAGGTACATTTAATAAAATGAAAAATATCTAAAGAAATGTCCTACACACATCATAAGCCAGATGCTTAATTAGGTGTATTTTGTGAGATGGGCAAGGATACACAACAATATGTTGTATACAGTATACACATTACGGTTATGTTTTATAACTGTGACCCAATTTCTTTTAATACATTTCATATAGTGTGAAGAACTTAACAGTGAGTTAGATCTTCGTCTTCATCTTCATCAGCCACGGCCACGGCGAATTGAACTTGACGTACATAATGTTAGAGCAGGTATATTATATTTTATTAGACATGTTTTAAATATATGATTGTTTGTAAAAAATGTGCTAAATAAGTGGTTATTTGTAAAATGTGTTTAGTTTATCATAATTTGTAAAAAATTTGTTAAATTTGTGATAATTTGTAATCTTACCATATCTATCTTATAAAATGTTTAACACTGAAAAATTTATTTCCAAGTTATGTAATTAACAAATAGGCCCAGCTCAAGAACAACCCAGATTATAAATATAATATAATTATAATATAATAATAGTTATAATAATAATATGGGGGCCTATAAAAATAATTTATATTTTATTTTAATTTTATTTTTATATTTTAGTTTAAGAATCAGCATGGGAAGAAAAAACTTTTTGAAATGTTAAAAACCTAGCATTTTCAAATTTTTGTCAAAGTCTTATTGTTATAACTTGGGGCTATGTATCCCGCAGCTTTGCAGTGAGAGGGTTTACACTACTATCAAGTACTTCTCTAACCATCATAGAGTTCTGACAAGTATGATGACATCAATGTTGACAAATGACATGACAGGATGACTCTAGTTAACTCCACTGTTTATTACACCATAATAATACATTCCATGACTTGGACAAACCATACTGAGACTTGACTACATACACGACCTCACCCTCAGACAACAAGAACAAGATTACCTAACCTTCTTCCCCGGCAACAACGATCCCACATTGAAACGTCACATTCTTGTGTACTGCGTCACCATTCAATGCGTTCATTATATCTTTCACACCAATATTCGTTCGCAGTAACATGCCTAATGAAACACACATCATAACATTTATGTCAGTTACTTTGTATGACTACATGATGATTTAGATGGGATGGCATGGTTAAAAGGTGGAAACTATTGATCTAAAAGTCTTGAGTTGGATCTTAGTTAGAATTTGTGACTGTAGGAACACATCCCTGAGTCCACACAGCTGTGATGGATACCTGTCTTATGACTTACATTGGGGAAAGTAAAGGCAGATGGGCATAGTGCTGACCACACCATTCCCTCAGTTGCAGAGGTCACGAAACACATGAACTCTACTTCATTTGCTCAATGGATTAATTGCTATGTCTTAAAGGAACTTTATCTATGACGATTATGCAATTAAAGGGAAAAATAGTTTATTTTTCATTTGAATCCATCTATTTTAATGCATTTTGTTTAAAATTAATCTTTCTATTAAGCGTCTATCCCGCAATTTCTCTTTTTAGCTGAATTAGTTTTGCATACTGAAAGAGTAGTTCGACACTGCAGTGGGTTAGAACAAAGCCTAGCAGAACTTCATTCAAAGTTTAAAGCAATGAGTGCTGAACACAATAAACTGGCATCAAAATTTCAATCAGATATTCAAGGATTAGAGACAATTTTCATAAGTGCCACTAAGTCATCCAGGTAGTTTTCAATAATTTTACCAGAATAAATGTATGCCTCTAGGCCTATTTTAAATGTAATATTGTTTAAATGGTATTATTTAGTTACTTATTTAAGCTTCAAGTATTTTTTTAAAAATTTCAATGCATTGATCAGATTGTGTGCTGTTGATCAGATTGTTTTTTAGATATTACTAATAATAATAAGTATTGAATCTTGGATTGTCACTAGAATTGTTAAACTTCAAAATCAAGTTTCCTTAGAGCTGGACAAATATATGTCCATCATCCGTACTTCTCTACGACAATTTCGCCAGCATTTAGATGTCACCCTACAAATGTTAAGAGAATCGAATGCAAGATTCATCAAATCATTCAAGTAAGTTTTCCTTTAAGGGAGACGCACAAGAAAAAAGGTTAAAAACTTCTAGATGGTCACATCAGTTAAGCTCATTGTTGCTAAACCAAAAGTCCCAAGTTTGAACCCCCGGGCAGATGAGGCTTAGCTTAATAGCTGGGAACAGCAACCCACCTAGGTGAGAAAACTCCAACATTAATCAATTGCTTCCTTATAGTTTGTTATTGGCTAGACAATGGCTATGGAAGCAAATCCATAAAAAGAAAATAGTAAGTCGCACTGCAATCAGGAGTATAACAGTTGACATGTAATACTTAATTGTGATGGAGGAAATCCCTTCCAGCATTAATTTAGAACAAAGAAGATTTTAATGTTTTTTAATGTGTAAACCATTTCCCTAACAGAAAAACATTAAAAGATTAAAATATTTTGGAAAAATTGTTTAAATAGCTGTTTTCAATTTTTCTTTTACTTTCTTATAATACATAGTTTAGAGGAAGTATTTTGCTGTCTAGCTTTTTTAAAACAATTTTTACTTCCAACCCCATTCCCTCCACCCTCACCCATTGTCCCAAAAAGCCACATTCTTCCCCTCAAAATGATCTTACACCTCAGCCTCCTTCTTCTTTGTTCTTGGTTGTAATATTGGAAGAGAACTCCAACACACTTCATTATTATGTATCACCTTGGCTGTTGAATCCAATTCCAGTGTGCTTTTTTTCTTTCTGGATTTGCTTCTATGGCTATTTTCCATCCAATAACTAACTTCAACTAGCAGTTTTCTCGCCTAGATGGGTTTCTCTGACTAAGTCTCCAAATCACCCCTCAAAATAACAGTTTTTGATTTTTAAGACATTGAACCCCTTCTAAAATATTTACTGAGCTTTGTCAACATTCCATATGTTTGTATAAATCATTTTCTATCACAATGTATTAAGCAGCCTTTTAAAATGTGAAAATATAGCTAAAATTCAGTTTCTTAATATACTTTTTAAACATAGATAAGTGTGACATCACCATTTCTAAACACCCCTCTTACCCGCATTACTTATCATCACAAAAGCCACAAATTAATTGATAAATAGTCTCATTGCAATTTGGAACAAATGGAAAATTTAACTTGTTCTTTAAAAATTATGCTAGGATTTTCTCAGATGGAGGAAATTTTTGTCCTGAAGAAATAGAAGATTACAGAAAGAAACTTGAAAAAATGTCTACATTAATTGATACAACTGAAGGCTCAATTATGTCTGAACTAGAGGGTATGGAATCAAAAAGATTGGAAAGTGCTACAAAGATATCAATGGATTTTGAAGACAGGTTTGTTAAGTAGTATGAAATGTTGAAAATTTTACCTTTAATTATCAAAATGTTATGTTTACTTGTAGTTGTTTTTTTTAACCCTATTACTGCATTTACACTTATGACATGTATACTATACATTTCTAGAACACAAAGCCCGCCAAAAGTTAATTTTATCTGGAACAATTTTCTCCACAGAACATGTTGTATACTTTAGCGTTCACACTTACAGAACACGTTATAGAACATTTTATAAAACAAGCATGACCTTTGACACGGAGCGTCTGCTATATAGGCCCAGACAATTAAAATAAAGAGTAATCAAAGTAAAAAAAAACGTAGATAGTGGGCACACAGCTTTATTTTTAAAAAAAAGCAAAATAGTGTAGCCACAGTGCTTGCGATTCAACAATGAATTATCTAAAAATTAGAGAGCATGCAAGATTTTATACATTTTATTGGAGTGCCAGCTACTGGAGCTAGACAGTTTTTATAAATATAATGCTGTGTATAATACCACGGGTCATAGACATTACCCATATGTTATTACCCCTCCCTCCCATCCCGCAGTACAATCACCCCTTCCCACCCCATCACCATGGTAGCCACTTCCCCAGGTTCATTGCTTGTCTATTTCCTTCAGAAACAGCTTCGGATGAACAGGGCTAAATATTTGTTTGCTGAAAGGCTTGATTTCTTCGAAAACTTGCATCTGCCAAGTTCATTAAACGTATTGAGATCGTGTTACAACTATACTGAGTCTATTATTAAGAAAAAAGTAGATCTAGGTTTTAGAGTAGGGCCCCTCCCCCTTTGTTTCTTTATGTTAATTATGTCCCATTCTAAACCTAAATAATTAGCCTATGACTTTTTTATCTGCCTGTTTTTATAGTCAGTTGATTGTGTGATCCCTCGAGCACATATTCTGGTGGGCCTATAGATTTATTCATGTCAGACTGAAACTGAAAATATGTTGATACACTTAAAACAAAATATTAATCAAGGAACAATAGGAGGTACATTTGGTTAAGTTATATTTTTAAATTAATTATTATTTTTGTAATTAATACCTAAACTGGTTTTAAGGCAAAATTGTAATGCCATGGACATTACATTTTTTTTATTATAACGTGTTTGGGATTAAATTAAAGAAATAATAAGTAATTATTAAAATGTAATTTTTAGTAGGGCCTAGAGAAGTTATAAAATATGAAATCGTGGGCTCAAAAACTCAAGATCAGTATAATAGCCTATTTAATTTTGCACTCAGCTGAGACCCTGGGCCTAGGATGTGCTTACTACTTTTCAACGCATGCGCACTCCTCTGAAAATTCAGAACATGTCCTAAGTTTTCGCTCAGCGAGCGAAGACAAAAACTTGACCCAGAACATAAAAAGGGGTGTGGTTTTGTGCCCTGCGACTCAGAAGATGTTCCATATACTCGTAACATGTTTAGTATACACTTTAGCAGGTCAAGTCTAGTATACATGTCATAAGTGTAAACGCGGTGAAAAACAAGTCTGAAACTGCATTTTTACCTTCTTATCTAAGGTTTAAAGGTCATATGAATGATTTAATATTTATGGAACAAACAACAAGGTGGCTTACAAATACCCAAGTTAAAATTAAAACTGAGGTGGCCAATAGCAACATGCAAGCCCAACAAATATTGAAACTTTTGAATCAGCTTGAAAGCAAAATAAATGCTTTTGTTAAACCAAATCTTGACAAAGAGGTAATTTACTCAATCTTATTTAAAATACTTTTTTGTGCCTAATAATTATTATAGGGACTTATAAAAAATGTCATTGTCATTTACGGTTCACTTTAAACATCCTATTGTATTTCTAAACTAATTTTTGTTAAAATATGCCATGTGTTGTCTATCTTACAGTTAATTACAGCAAATGAATTAAACAAATTCATGAATGGAGTGTTTGCTATTTTTAAGAAGCGCTGTGAATATCTAGAGGCAGATAAATCTTCTTCACGGGCTATTAAAACAAGTAAGCTTGACCTTTTTAATACCAATATACTTAAGTTTTATAGGGGTCAGTGAGGTTGGATCTATAAAAATCATTGTTGCTGTCTCCATGTTTTACTTGATTTACAGTTCTGTCAGTGATATACTTAACAATCTTTCCAACTTTGAATATGCCAAACGAATTATAATCCTTGTTTATACTATCAAAAAAAACTTTTTTTTGCATTATTATATGGGATGTCCTCTTACAACCCAAAAGATTATCTTTGTGATAATTTACTTTTTGCTGCCACTGTTTATCTGGTTTTCATGAATCCTCATTAATATAAGAGTAGCTGTATCCAGGATCAGTTCACCTAACTTTCTCCCTCTGTTAATGGTTTCCCTCTGAGGGGCTTTAGAATAGTCCCTGAAAACTTGGGGCTGCTCAGATTGGGCTGTCAGATTTGTCATTAAAGACATAGAAGTCAGGGGTCTTACTTGTTGAAGTCAAAGATGACAAATTTGATGTTTGTTGAAACGCTATTAGGTCTCTAACTATGATACATGTTCCAACATAAGATGCTAATATATTTTCCTGATACCATTTAACCACAGACTGTGTTGTAATTTATATTGTCTGTACTTCATAGTTTATTTTATCAAAAGTGTGAACAGACATACAACTTTCTTGCATGTGTTTGTTGCATTTAGCTTTTATCTGATTTTCTTTCATAAATTCATGACATTTTTCTCCTTGACACAATTTACATTAGATGTTTACAGTATTATTTGAAAATAACATTAATAAATTAGATTTGACTAGAAAATAATTTAGAGAAGACCACTTTTGTTCTATTCCATACCTTGCTATCTGAATGCAGCAAAAAAAAATATTTTAAAATGAAAGCATAAAACATTTTATAAGGGTTTCATGGACACTTGACCAATTCATGCTCTACTGCCTGGATACCAAATGTTGACCCTGGTTTGATCAAGTCAACCAACTATAATAGCCCACTGTATCCACAGTCTATGGTGCTCTCCAGGTCAGAGGCGTAGTGAGGGGGGGGGGGGGGGGGGGGGCAGGGGCGGGGGGTGCGGACTGCACAGGGTGACACCATTTACGGGGGGGGGGGGGTGACACCAAGGCAAAAAATAGCAAAATATATAGAGAAAAATGATAATGCCACTTAATTAAGTGATTAATTCGAGTGTTAAATAGTCTTTTAAGAGATGCAAATCAAAAGTTTGAGGGGGGGGGTGCTGCAAATAGAAAGTTTGTCCCTGAGAAGTGTCGCTACGCTTCTGGGGGGTGACACCATTAAGTGCCGCACCGGGTGACATCCAACCTCACTACGCCACTGCTCCAGGTCACCAGATTATCTTGTTCATTTTACAGTTTTTGCTTTTATTTATTTTAAATATATCTCTGGGTTTTTTTTTCAGTCAAAGCAGGATATGCTAATGCTGGGTTTTTTTTTCAGTCAAAGCAGGATATGCTAATGACGGAAATATTTTAGTAAATAAACCTAGTAAACTATCAGATGATCCAACTGTTGGTCTCATTAAAAATATACTGAAGTGAGTTTTTTTCTATTTTTACAACATACTTAGATAAAAAGAATTTTATTTTATAAACCAATACATATATAGATATACAGAGAGACAGACAGACAGACAGACACACAGATAGATATATATATATATATATATATATATATATATATATATATATATATATATATATATATATATATATATATATATATATATATGTGTGTGTGTGTGTGTGTGTGTATTAATGTGATTATATATGTGTATATATATACATATATACATATATTAATAGATATATTTATATATATATATATATGTGATTGTATATGTGTGTGTATATATGAATATGTATATATACATATATATGTATTTGTATGTCGGTATATGTATGTGTGTATATGTATATATGTATACTAGTCGTCCCGGCCAGGCCCTGCACTGGCATTTGAGGTAAACGTTGTTTGTAAAGAACTGTTTCTTATTTGCTCATTAAGCATCATCTACCCAGCGCTGCCCGGTATTTGGGAATAAAATTTTCAATTAAATATCTATATATAACTATTATCCTTGTCCCAAATTTTTCCACTGGTGCATTACTATGCTCATAAAGGACTGTTGTAGATAACTATTCCTTTACACTCTAAAGGTGTGAACATATTATACAGGATTTTTACAGATTGAGCTCCATTTTTGAAAATAAAGATTAACAGTAGCAAGTGGAAAGAGTTGGGTATGAATACCTGTAACTGGGGGCGGGAGGGGGGGGGTGGAGTTGGGTATGAATATCTGTAATTAGGAAGGGGGTCTGTTAGTTTGATCATAGTGGTCAGGGTACCTTATGTTAGAATATGCACAAGATATGAAAGGTGACTGCATTAATGTCTATTTACCTGATCAAAAATTAGTATATTACTTACATAGCTGAGTTATTAAGAAGGCTGTAAGAGCAACTTACTTTTTTTTTTTTAAATTGGACTTGACAGGTTTTGCATATGACCTCCTCTAATATTAGTTATTAGAGACAGATTAATTTCACACCAATTTAAAAGTTGCAAGGAATAAAGAATTTTGTTTTTATTCATATGTTATTATTGTTTACTTTGAGTGTAATCTAAGAACTGAGAAATTAAAAATAGAAATTTAATATGCAGTTATATCCCTTTACACATTGGTAAAATTTAGGATAAAAATAGTCACATTGTATTACTTTTTACACCTTTTTTTTTTTTTTTGAAAACTGTTTAGTGATTATTTTAAAGGAATTTTTCTTTTATCTAAATATTTTCTTTTTTTATTTTCGTGTGTGGTCAAAGAGCAGCAGAAATTAAAAGTTTAAAAGTCCTAACACTGTTACATCCCTTTAACAATTAAAATTGAGGAGTAAAAGTATTATTAACCACTAAGTATGACATTTCTGAGAATCTGGTATTTTTCCAGGTGCCTACAGCACCAGAGCTATCTCCTTTCCAAATTTTGTCACATCTTCAAGTTGTTGATCTAATTAAAAAAATGTATAGTTTATATAAGGCCAAGGTTACTCTAGGTCAGTTTTGGGTCACTTTAAGCTCGATTATAGAGATTACTCTAATTGTCCGGTACAAAGTTGTGTATAGATGTGTATGTGTGTATATATAAATGTTTGTATAGACCTATATATATATATATATATATATATATATATATATATATATATATATATATATATATATATATATATATATATATATTCATATATATATATATATATATATACATATATATATATATATATACACACACACCAATAAAATATTTTTAGACAGGTTAAGAATAAGGGATTAATAATTACTTTAGAAGTAATTGGTTCAATACATTTTCTAAGACAATCTATGTTAGAGCTTGAATAATTATCTTTAATGCTGATAAGTTATAATAATAATAAAGAACCAGGTGTAACCCAGCACTTCTTTTACCTGCTGTTTTAGCTGTATACAAGTAAATGGATTAAAATTCACAGAAGAATATTGGTAATTTTTTGAAAGATAGTTTGAATTGTTCCTTGCTTGTTAAATAAAATTGTGTTCATTAGTTTTATTTATTAAAAATTTTCAAAAAATCTTTTGATGTAAGGTAGTGTTCCCCAGTGAAGATTAAAAATTCTGCCATTGTTTTGATAGAACATTTGAAATTAATTTAGGTTTGAAGAGTGAAAATAGCTAGGTAGAATTCATGACTCAATCTAAAATCATAAAACATTTAATATGTTATATTACATTTGACCTAATAGTTTTTTGTTAATTCATAACATTTACATAGAAAGGAAAATTAATTTAGCTTAACTATGTGGTAAATTTCAGTATGAGACAGCAGTGCTACAGACTTATCACTTTGTCCAAAGAAAAATAATCTAAGATTAAAGGATTAAATCACTTGAGAACTCTATTTCCCTGTAACTTCACGTTGTAAAATGTAAGACCTACTTTTGGTTATCAGTGCCACTTTTCTTGTATTTCATCTTGAAAGTTTTTATTTTTCTCTAGGTCACAAAGAAATAAAATCAAATTGGAAAATGATGCTGATTCTGATGGCAATGGTAAGAACAAACATAATTTTTCAGAAATCTTTTGATGTGGTTTAATCTTCTGTGTTTGTCAACAGCGCATTAACTTAAAGGTAGATATTAGTTAATCTCTCTTAGAAACAGTAATTTTTACTTTCTCGTATATACGAAGTATAGAGAAAGTCTTGTAGTCGTGCAAAAAAAAAATCGAGATTTTTGCAAATCTCGACGTTTTACATCTCACTGATACGGAAAAACATAATTTTGCAATCTTGTCCGTATGTCTGTGTGTGTGTGTGTGTGTGTGTCCGTGTGTAAACACGATAACTTGAGTACCGTTACAGGTAGGCTGGTGAAATTTCATATATAAGTATTTTATCAAAATCGTAGATCCGTATCAACTTTTGAGCGAATTCCGATAACCGGAAGTGGTACTTTTTCTACTTTGAATTTTTCAAAAGCCTATAACTTGAGTACTATTTCAGATAGATAAACGAAATTTGATATGTAAGTAAAAGATCTAATTCTCTACCTTCTGTCAAATTTTGAGTCATTTCCGTTGACCGGAAGTACTTATTTACGCTATTTCCGATTTCTCAAAAAACGCATGTAAATTTATAAAGTACTAATAATATTGCGCACTATTATGCACATCTTTATTTAACGTTCAATTGGTGTGCATTTCTTTTTTCTACTAGATTATATTCTATTTTAAAAAATGTGAGTATTTAAAATGGATTAAAAATCATGTCTAGAAGTCTATATCCCGAGTTGCCATCCCCCGTAGTGTTATATTAGAATATTCGAGAAAGTTTAGGGGAGATCACTCCCGGTTTATTTTAAAATGTTACTACATTACACAAATTACAAACAGTGGGTTTTTTTTGCACTTTGTCTACATACAGCACATACATTTTTCTGTGAAAAATATCTGTTTTTTTTTTAAAAAGCTGCTCACATATTTTCCTTTTTAATAAAACTAATTATTTTACTTAAAAAGGCATGACATGCTTTTAAAACAAAAGAACAATAGATTTTATTTATCCTTTAAATGTGTTTATTTGGATAACTTCTCTTTAAGTTTTTAATATATATATATATATATATATATATATATATATATATATATATATATATATATATATATATTATAGATATCCATAAAGAGAAACCAAAGTCAGCAATGTCTGAAGTTTCTAGTAAAGGAAGTGATACCAATATTCAAAAGCTTACAGCAAAGAATGCAGTGGATGTTCCACGAAGGTACATGTACTAGCTGTATTGACTAGGATTCGCTCAATCCAAAAATAGCCATGTCAAAATTTAAATGTTTAATACTATGGTTCTTAATCTGGGTTTGATCAATCCCCTCAGGGGTTTGGTGCAGGTCACGGCACATATCTGACTCTGATTTTGACAGTGCAGATGATAAAACTATTATTATTATTATTATCTCCCCAGGCATTTTGAAACATTTTAATTAAATAATTTAATTCGACCTTACTGTTATTAAAATGTATCCATTTTTTCTAGTGAAAATATTATTTGACATTGATCCATTCAATATGTTTTAGCAATGTGCGTGTATTTAATATTTTCTTGAAATCTTTTGTTGATGAATGCAAAAGGTTAAAAACTTTTCCAACAAAAAAATTGAAGTCATTACATAAATAGTACTTGTAATAAGACTATGCAATGCAAGTAAAATGCATGACATGTGTTGTTGTTCGCTTTTATGTTTCTAGAATCTATAGTGATGACGGAATGACGGAATGACACACTACCAGACGGACTGACACACTACCAAGTGGCTTAAATTATAAATTTATATATGTACTATATACATCTACATATATACACATATATACATACATACATATTTTCACACACATACACACACACATATACATACACACTTAATCCCAATAAATAATGAATTCATAATTTTCTACCATGTTTCGGGGTACTCAGCTATAAATGTTAAGTGCAGACCTTCAAACTAATTTATAATGAATTTCGAAATGTTTGGTCTGACAAAAAAACTTAATTTTGGTGGAAATAATGTTTTAATAAGATGAACATAATGTTAGGAAGAATTCCATCATAGGCCTAGGCTTGTTTGCTAAATAATATTTTAAAACACTACTTAGATCTAAATTCTATAGCTCATTACAAAGTTTTGTAAACTGTAAACATGCTTTAAAGAGCCAGCAACACCTTGAAAACTACATTTACAAAATTAAAGGCTTAGCGCAAGTAAACTAGACAAACAGCAGCGGTTAACTGGAGATGAGGAAGAAGTTACAGATTTAAGTTGCATTCCTTTCCTTGAAGTTGCACACAAGTGTTTGAGCAATGCAGAGGAGTCTCTAAAAACCATTTCTGAGGTAAAGGAATTTTTTAATTCTAGAAACAAAGCAACATTTTCAAAGCTAACATTACCTTTTTTTGTTGATTGTACACATCGATTATATCTTTTACAAGTCTCTTGAGTAAAACTAACTCTTGTGATATGTTTATGTTGAACTTAGCAATAATGTAAATACTCTCTTTTTTTTTTTAGTTATTTTATCTTCAGAAGGGAGCTAGGCCAGTCACTCGACCTCAAGCTGTTAAAGAAACATTTGAAGAGTGTAGGGACTTAATACAGCAAAAAATATTGTCCTTTGGTAAACAGGTTGACGAATATCATAACCAGTGTTTGCAAGGTACTCTAACATTTACATTTGTCTTATCACTAAATAACCATACCTGCAAGGCCCTGCACTAGCATTGAGATAAATTATCTGTACAGGGCCGTAACTTGTGTTTTCATTAAGCAGCATATACCATGTCCTGCCCAGGTTTTGAGAATATATAAAATTTTCAATTAAAATTCTATATGTAATTATGGACGTTTGAAAAAGTATAAACACAAATCCAAGCATAAACACAAACTAAAATGCAAACTAAAACAGAAATAAAAGCACTAATGCAAACATAAACATAAACGCAAATATAGACTTAAAAATAAATGCAATAATAAATGCAAACAATAACAGAACCGCAAACAACACCCACCAAAACACAATGAGGACATTTAGGAACGCCTTCTAAACTATTATGGATTAAAACAATAGTTAGTAAACAGTACATTCAAACAAAGTTATATGTGGTAGCCATATCACTGACCCATTTATGGTTCAGACTGGAGTTAAACAAGGGTGTGTTCTGTCCCCACTGCTTTTAACTTAGTGATTGATTGGCTGATGACACAAACTATAGACAAAGCGAGAGGCATCCAATGAACACAAACAACTAGCCTAGAAGATCTGGATTTTGCAGACGACTTAAGTCTACTAGCCAGCAGTTAAAAAGATATGAAAAAAAAACTAAATAGACTTATTTACTATGCAAATGGAATTTGACTCTAACTGAACATTAACAAAACCAAAGTTAGCAAAGCAAAATACATATTGTCAAGAACCTATTAAAATAAACAACACACAAGTAGAGGAAGAAAAAGATTTAACATATTTAGGCAACATTGTAAATTATAAAAGTGACTGCTCAGCTGACATTAAAGCATTCATCTCTAAAGCCAAACAAGCCTTTGCAACCATACAAAAAACATGGCAATCGAAAAAAGTCTCCTCCAAGACTAAATGCAGACTTTTTAAAAGTCATGTTCTTAGCATCCTACTGTATGGCAGCGACTGCTGGAAAGTAACAGGATATAAGGCATCCACTGGTCTAACACCATCTCAAATGATAGTTTACTAGGAAATATGGAAATGAAAGTAGTTTAGGAATTAATCATAAAAAGAAGATGGCAATGGATTGGGCATGTCCTAAGAAAGAATCCAGATGACATCACAGGAATGGTGCTAAACTTGATGCCTCATGAAAAAAGCAGAAAGCCAAGGGATACCTGGAGGTGCACAGCAGGGAAGCAGTGGTAGAGGCTGGACTGTCATGGGGGACTGCCAGGAAGTAGTGGTAGAGGCTGGACTGTCATGGGGGACTGCCAGGAAGCAGTGGTAGAGGCTGGACTGTCATGGGGGACTGCCAGGAAGCAGTGGTAGAGGCTGGACTGTCATGGGGGACTGCCAGGAAGCAGTGGTAGAGGCTGGACTGTCATGGGGGACTGCCAGGAAGCAGTGGTAGAGGCTGGACTGTCATGGGGGACTGCCAGGAAGCAGTGGTAGAGGCTGGACTGTCATGGGGGACTGCCAGGAAGCAGTGGTAGAGGCTGGACTGTCATGGGGGACTGCCAGGAAGCAGCTGGCAGAGGAAGGACTGTCATGGGGGACTGCCAGGAAGTAGTGGTAGAGGCTGGACTGTCATGGGGGACTGGCAGGAAGCAGTGGTAGAGGCTGGACTGTCATGTGGGACTGCCAGGAAGCAGCTGGCAGAGGAAGGACTGTCATGGGGGACTGCCAGGAAGTAGTGGTAGAGGCTGGACTATCATGGGGGACTGCTAGGAAAGTTGACATTGACCAAAAACAGTGGAGTTCTTTTGCTATATGCATGTCATCAACAATCATACATACCCACAGTCGATTTGAGATTTTTAGTATAGATTAAGTCCTGACTGTAAAATAAAAGATGGGAGCATTTGATGATCTCAAGTATTGGTGTAAATAATAGCTTATCAATATTATTTTTTAATATTTTATAGAAGTTCTATAGGAAGACTTGCATATTGTTCATACTGCACTTGATCACCATTGTGTTATATTCTAAAGTTTAATTTTTATGCATACATTTTTTATATTTATAATTTCTGAAATTTGTAGTCATTTATCAACTAAAAAATTACGAAAACAAGCAGCTAAAGTAACAATTTACCTCACTAAAATTATCCAAATAAGTTGCCTTGATTCAAGACTAACAATAGAGAATTTACAGAAGTTAAGATCACATTAAGAAAAAAAATTACTTCCCTATAGTTTGTTTTCATATTACCATAAATAAAACGAATTTGCATAGAGTTAGAGAATTGTAATGTTGTAGGTAAAACACAGATATTTTAAATACTAATTTATTTTATTTATAAATTGAATATACTGTTTACTTATTTTCTAATGCAATATTGGCCTAGAAGTCATTCCTAAATGTCGTCAAGCACCTGGGGAGGGATTAGATTGGGACAATGTGTGAAAAAAGCTTTCAATTTTAAGTTCTTTGGACATTGAAAAAACACTCTGACAACTTCACAAACTGTCAGCACTTTGGACTTGGGCCATAACATATATATGTAATGTATAGCTTAGTAATAATGTAGAAATCTTAGGAATTATACTTTCCACAGAATTTAGAGATCAGTTGAAGAAACTGGAAGAATTATGTTCTGTTGTACCAGGAATTGTGTTCACTGATTTCTTGCAGCAGGAAATTAAAAAACTAAGAATGGCTCAAGAAGAATTTATTTCAAAGTATAAATCTATTTTTCACCAAATGACTCTCAGAAAGGTGTGTGTTTTCTATCTTGAATTAATTACAGTTAGTCTTGCATAAAAAAAAACCACTTCTAGTAGTGCAAACAATCAATATTATAAACATGTACTTAAGATTTAATGTAGAATACAATGGCAATTTTTCACAGCATTTTACAGTTAGAAAAAATGTTGATTTAATTAATGCAGCATTAAATGTAGTGATTATTTTGTGTTTCTGTTCAATGCTCTGTGAACAAATCTCACTATTTTTAATGACAACTAAATGGTTTAAAAAATTAAAGTGAACTAACCAATTTTTTAAACTTTGTATCAAAACACATACTTATTTGACTTCAGGATTCAAATAAAAATGAGCTCAGACCTACTCTGGGTCATCCACAATTTACAAATGATTTAGCAACACTATGTGCATTAGAACATGAACGATATCTGGATTTCACAGAAACTGTAGCTAAATACACTTTGGAAAGACAGGTAAGCCATTGATTTTTAATTGAGAATTTTATAGAATTTCACTAACCTGCCTTCCTAAGAAAGTACATTGAATGTATTGTTTTCTTGCATTAAACATGTCATATAATTTTATTTAAATTGTAATCTCGATAATCGCTTTTTCAATGTATTACATAAAATGATTGAAGTCTTAATCATAAATTGATAAATAAGATATGTTTAACCTTTTTCTTAAAATAGGAAACGGCTTTGGAGAATTCCAAAGTATTTTTAGACAATTTACAACAAATAGTTCAACATCAGCTACAACAGTATGATGAAATGATTGTGGTTGATGACATTAAAAAAGGAAGTAAGTATGTCATTGCAAATAATCCAGACAAAAAGTAAAACTTCTTTGAATAAGGTTAAAAAAGAACATTCTTAGACCACATGAACTTTATTACTCCTGATTATATTTTTATATTTATATTTGCTTAATTAACATATACTCCTATTTTTATTACTCATATGGGTATAAGTTAGAGGTGTAGCCAGGATTCTCTCATAGAAGCCTTCATAAATCTCTCTCTTCTCTCTCTACATATATATATATATATATATATATATATATATATATATATATATATATATATATATATATATATATATCCTAATATATAAAAGCCCACGCGCGCACCTCTCTCTCTCTCTCTCTCTGTCTGTCCGCAAAATATTTTTGACGGACATCACATCAGAATCTACAGCGATATATCGAGAACTTGATACGGAATTTTGTTGAAAATAATGTGGTAGATGTTTTAAATGTATAACGACAATTGTATTTAAAGAAGAAAAATAAACCGTAAAATATTTTTATAAACCATATATAGAGAAAAATTGCAGCCGCCCTTGCGAAATTAAAAATGATTTTTTACAGAACCCTTCCCTAGAGTTTTATAATGAACTCCCCAAAGTTTCATGGCTATCGGATGAACGGTGTCACTGCAATTCACTTTTATTATTTTTATATACCGTATATAGAGAAAAATCGCACCCTCCCGTGGCGCCCCCCTTGCAAAATTAAACATTATTTTTTTTACAGAACCCTTCCCTAGAGTGGTATAATGAACTCCCCAAAGTCTCATGGCTATCGGATGAACGATGCCAAACCAAAATCGACTTTTATTTTTATATACCGTATAGAGAAAAAAACAAATCGCGCCCTGTCGGAGCGCCACCCCTGCGAATTTGAAATTTTTTTTTCGCAGAAACCTCCCCAGGAATATTCTCAACAACTTCCCAAAGTTTCACGGCGATGTGATGAGAGGTGTAGTAATGCATAAAGGACAGACACACACACACACACAAACATACATTGCTTTTTAAGTTTTATGCACTTTATTTGTTTACAGGAGTAGCCTTTAAACACCAGCCAACTACTGAACTGATTAGACGAAAACAAGCTGGAGAACAATATGATGCTAGTGAAGAAAAGGATATTCAGCCAAAAGGAAAAGCAACATGGATAGGTTATTCACATATTTTTAGTTTCTTTTATGATATTTCTATTTCTTACAAGTTCAAAAAAATATATTGATGTTTATATGATAAAATATTAGTAATGAAACCGTGCCTGATCATGATATTATTTAAAAAATACCAGTTTAAATTTTAAACTGAGTTAATTTTACTTGTTTGTCTCACTACAATACAAATCAAGACCAATAAATAAATTGCCCACGTGGAATAAAATTTACCACACAAACTAATCCAACTGCACTATGACGACACGTGATCAATTTCCAAGAAATAAATTAGCACAGGAACTTGCAGCTTATCACTGAAGTGATACTTCTGAACAGGTTTTTTTTAAAAAGCTTTTAAAATTAGCACCCATTCGAGCCTGATGGTCCATGAGGTATGTGAAATAGATTCCACCTGTTTCAGAGACCTAGGCACATGAAGGGATAATGTTGTCAGCACTATACCCAAGCACCCTTACTTTAACTCAAATGAGTTGGGTACCCATCAGAGCTGGGTGTGCTTCAAGACATCCAACTCACACATAGACTCTACCATCCGACCACTCCATCCCCTACAGTAATAGAGTCACAATTTTAGCTGACCGTATTGAAACTTCATCAAAACGTCTTGAAATCTTTAATCATTTTAAAGACATTCATCAAAACGTTATATAATCTTTAACCATTTTGATTAGTCAAAATTTTTATAAATGTCTTGATATAATTTGAAGATTACAGTATGAAGGAAAATTCTAAACTGCATTAAAATCTTAACCACAAATATCACTTAAATCTAACTGAAAATCCAAACAAAAATAAAAGCCCTTAACCTAGCTGCTGCAGTCAGATAATTTATAATAATTTTGTTCTGTAAATTAGTCTTCACAAGCAGGATTTAAGTGTGCCAATATATATTATCTAAAAATTGAATATCTATAAGAAGTGTATAAAACGGCCCCGTCAAAAGAATCAGCGACAAATGGACCCTGTCATTTAGGCTCCCTACAAAATGACTCCCATTATTAAGACTCCTGACTAAAGTGTCGTTGTCAATACGGTTTCCGAACGAAACGACCTCGATGAATATGACACCTGCCAGTGGGACCCCTTCCTCAATACACTTTAGAGTTAGCCAACACCATAGTACAATGTATGCAGCTCTTGTTTGGCAGGCCTTTTTTTAAATATATGTGTATAAGCTTTAATCACTGCAGACTAAATAGTAACGTTGTTTATCTATAGTCTGTTAATAATACAGTTGGATGTAGCATTGTTTTCTCTATAGTTAGCACGTTTACATCATGGTATCACCCCATCCCTTTGTAATAATTGACGACTTGTACTTAAAAGACTATTTAACTTTAATTAATCATTAATGGAACTGGCAAAAAATCATATATAACTATATATATATATATATATATATATATATATATATATATATATATATATATATATATATATATATATATACAGCTGTTAATAGTTCAATTTGTTTGGAAATTGTTGTTGGATCATGAGCATGTTTTTATTCAGGCCTTTAAAATATGTAATGGTGGTAGTGGAGGTATGAACTGAGTGTGGTTGGTTCGTTGTACAAAATGTTTACGCCTATATGTTCGCAGGTCAGTATGACGAAACCCATTTGACGGGAGCCTATATGTTGGGGACCTTTCGACGTGGCTATTTAGACTGGGTCGTTTTATCGCTGACCGATTTGTTGGGGTGCTTATTTTAATGGGCCATTTTGACGGTGCACCATTAGAAAAGGTTGACTAATTACCATTAGTCTGTTAAAATTACATGAATTAATAAAATTTATATTGGGTTGAATTTTCAAGAAAGAAGTAGGATCAAGATTTAGTCATATATCTTGTTAAATATTAAAACAAATATGATCTTTTGTGTTCCTGTAATGATAACATCATTTCAGATGGGATACGTTTGCCAAGACAATAATTCTTGCTTTTCATGCTAATTTGGCTCGTAACCATTTTTCAATACCCAGTTGAGCACCAAAGAAAACAGAATTGTGTTGCCCACTTTTTACACATTTACAGTGTGGCAATCCATAGCTACAATTTTGTATTCATCACAGTTTATTTGAGCGCTAGTTTTACCGGTTACCATAAAAATGCACACACAGAAAAATGCGCCAACAGAAACATGTGCACACAGAAAAATGGACAAAAAGAAATGGCGCACAAAGAATATTGCGCACAGAGAAAAATGCAAAAATTATTAAAAAATTGTGTACACAGAACATTACAAAGATCGCTCATCAATTATAGTGTGTGTGTGTTTATGCGTGCACGTTTGAGATTGTAACAACCTTTGTGTATACAAGAAAGATATATTTAATTCATTCATTTTCTTTGTGTGCAAAATTCTGTGTGCGCATTTTTCTGTTTGCGCACTTTACTGTTTGCATATTTTTCCATTGCACATCTTTCTGGTTACCACTTTTCCCAGAGTCAATTGTAGTGTTTATTATATCTATATAGAAGGGAATAAAGTGAATTTAGATACTATAATTACAGCTTAAATAGATCTGCATTATTAACGTTCTTGAATTTTATGTTAGGAAAATATTTTTCTGATTAATTTTTAGCACTTATAAAAACCAGGCTGTCCGCAACAAAAGCCTTTAATTTGGCTACCAAATACATTAATGCATTTAAGTTCTGTGACCTCATGAGATTGTGTTTGAATTTAGAAGCCTACTTTTCAAAGATGGTTATCATTCAGTTAGGGCTTGTCCATAAATGATATAACAAATTTTAAGCTGATCTTACCCCCACTCTATTGTCATATTCACAAAAAGCTATATCCCCCAACCCCAAGGGTGTCAGAAGTTCACACCTTACCTCCCAAAATTATTATAATTCTAAAAACTTTTTTAAAAACTTTTTTTTGACAAAATAAATGCTATGATACACTTTAATCAATGCCTGCTCTCCTCATCACACCTTATCACAAACGTAAGGAATGTGACGTAATTAATGCATAACCCCTACTAAAATAAATTGCATTAAGTTGAAATAGCACATTCTAAATACAAATGAGTTACTTTTTTCAAAACTTGAAATAAAACTTTTCTTTTCAGGTATCCCCAGTAACCAATTTTTTACTGGGAAGGCACCAAGTAAACTTTTACTTACAACCACCATAGTCACTCAAAAAACAACAATGGCTCATCATGCAGTAATCCAAGCAAGAGATGTAGCCTTTGAGGTATAATTTTTTGCTGAAAATGGCATTACAAATTTTGTACTGTAATTTACTGTAATCTTTAATTTGTATAGTCCTGATTAAAATAAATTTCCAGAAACCCTATATCTATTGTTATGTACACATACATTTTTACTTTATGTCATAACTATGTAAGTCATAGTTTAAATGTAGGCCTACAGAAGTTTATGAATCGTGCTGTAAATAAAATTTTATCTCGAGCACAACAAAATGAGATTGAGTTTTTTCAATTGATAGTTAATTTTTTCTAAATTTACCACACCCTCAGTGTTTCTTCCAGGCATCTCTTCTTTTACTAATGTCCGCCCCCTCAAAAAATGTAGACCGCCCCGTCCCTCCCCCCCTCCCCCCTGGAGAAAAAATTCTGGAAGAAACACTGCACACAGTAAAAAGAAACCATATTTGTTGTGCATTGTTTATTTTTAGGAATACAAAAAGCAGTTTGAGAGGCTTCTTCAAGAAATTGAAACCAACAAAGAGAAACTTCTTTTTACAGAGAAGCAGTGGGAAGACTCTTGGAATTTATCTGTGGAAAAAGTAAAATACCTGTATACAAAAGCAAATTAAGGAATCCCAAAATATGTTCCTTTTCATATCAACTGATAGTCTGATATGATTTGTTTTATCAGTTCTCTAAATGTAAAGCCCATAAAGTTTTCAAATAAGACTATCAATATTAAACAAGGAGGCTGGGGGCACTCTTATTATGGTTAAGATTAACCTGTTGATGGGTGAACTACTAAACACATTAACTATTTAAAAATGATATTTAAAACATTTTTAATGCTGTTAATTAAGGGGGTATGCGCAGCAATGAAATCATCAAAATCCTAATTTTTTTATCATTATGGGTTTCTTTCAAATTTGGAAACTTTGTCCATTTTTTGTATTACAAAAATAATACTTTTAATGAGAGAATTTTTAAAATGTGTTTAAAATACAATTTTCATCACCCCATTAATTAAAAAATCTTTTTTTTTTCAAATCTTACACGTTCATAGTTCAATATTCTTCATCATATTGTATTTGAGACCTTTAGAAAGCTGGGTGTCTCATATATTTGTTAATCGTATTTTCCGTCATCGCAGAAACACCCTAAGATATTAATTGGCTTTACAAATTACACAGTAATGGTATTTTCGTTAACTGCTTTCCGTTACTTTTGGCTTTTATTTCTCATTTAGCAGTTTTTAACTTTAAAAAGCCTACTTTTTTTTTATTATTCCCACAAATTTTTTCAGCATTTTTTCTTCATTTGATAATAAAACTTTTAACTCGAGGGAAGTGGAATAGCTTTCATGAAAAAAGTTTGTGAAAAAAAAATATGCACATTTTTTAACTTTTGCATACTAAAAAAGTACAATTTTTCGGACCTTGTAGAATTCCGACCAGTAGATCTATTAAAAAGTTGTTTTAATAGTTTTAATATGTAATGGAATATAAGCCGTGTAAATTTGATTACCTTAAGTGCATAAAAATAAAGCCTTAGCGTCAGTGGCGTAGCGAGGTCGGGTGTCACCCGGTGCGGCACTTAATGGTGTCACCCCCTCAGAGGCGTAGCGACTCTTCCCAGGGACAAACTTTCAATTTTCGATTTGCACCCCCCCCCCCCCTTCGAACTTTCGATTTGCACCCCCCCCCCCCTCAATTTTTTTCTCTATATATTTTACTATTTTGTGCCTTGGTGTCACCCCAGTGGCGCAGCGAGGTTGGGTGTCACCCCCCAGAGGCGAAGCGACCCTTCCCGGGACAAATTTTCACCCCCCTAAATGGTGTCACCCGGTGCGGTCCGCACCCCCCGCCCCCCCTCGCTACGCCCCTGCTTAGCGTTTTTAATACTATCGAAAAATTCAAAGGTAAAAGTATTTAAAAGGCTTCAGGTCTTAAATCTTAAAAATATAGTAGAAACACTGAACATATCCCCTTAAAGATGGTAAAAATTTAATTTCTCATTTTCCACCTTAGGGTAAATATATTTTACTGATCTTAATGCTGCAAAAGAATTATAAAAAATAATAAAACAATTAGAATTAAATAAAGTTTTAATTCTGAAAATGTGAGTGTTTGACATTTTAACTGAAATGAAATAATTATTTTGTTTTTACTCTTTGTGAACTTTATTTCTCTTGGCCTTCCTTTTTAAGTATAAACAAAAACCCAAGTTGTTGATTTTTATCTACCATCTTTTAACCCTAATACAATGTTTATTCCTAAATATAGTATTAACATTTGAATGGGTTGTTGTTTTTTTTAAATTAAAATTAGGTGAGTTTCACTACTAGTAACTATCATATGAACAAAAACATTGTTGCTTTTCTACTAAATCTACTAAAAGGCAACTTATGTATGTATAATTTGAACTGGCATTAAAACTGTTAAGGTTTACAATTAAATATAATGATTTATGGTACATGCAAACTGTAATAGATTGACGATAGAAGCATGTGATTGTATATAAAACGTTTATTGGCCTCCAACTACATGATGGTAACGAGAGAGGGCGGAAGTGACGAGAGACAAAGATATATAAACATATAAGGGACATCACTCAAGATAACAGTATAAATATAATACTAATACAAGAAGAGTGAGTTCCCTTGACTTCACAAGTCTCACTATATTACATCCCTTTACCCTTAGTAAACACAACACATCTCTCAATAGAACAATTGACAGTATCTTAAAATCACCAAATATATTGTAACATGAACATTATGGTAGATTACATCCTTACAAACAATGCACAATATGTTACAACATAATTAAAATACCAAACAATGATGTCAAAGTCCTTTTGACCTTTAAAATCATAGGTCTAACTTATTTGGGACTTTGATTGTCCTGCTTGACCTTCTCAGTGGCTTTTGATTTGGTGACTCAAGATTCTGACCATATGGATTCTCCATCTCAGGAGGTCTAGGATCTAAATCATTAATTCCAGAATTTACATTTTCTGACTCTAGACAACTTGGTTCACTCATATCAACAGAACTCGGTTGTGGAACAAACTGAGTTGGTGTGAACTGATCAGATTTGGTGGGATTGACAGATTCACACTTATTATCTGCACAAGTTATTTTTAACTGGTCTGCATGTCTACGGACAATAAGTCCATCATTTGTTTTTACTTTATAAGACACAGGTCCTGTACATTGAACAATTTGACCTGGTATCCATTTTTCCCTTCTCCCATAATTTCTCAGATACACATTCTCATTAACACCAAATTCTCTTTCAATGCATGTTTTGTCATGATTTAATGGAACTATTTTTGAATTGGCATCTGAAAGTATTATGCTGTTATTCAGCTCCTTAACTGACATAGATTTCTTTGATTGATCAATTTTCTCAGGTAATCTGATAGTGCTTTTTAGTAACCAAAAATACTGTTTAAAAGTAATATCCTGGACCATATCAATTTGCAACTGTGATCCAGTATTTGAAGTGGGTGTATTAAATGGCAAAAATCTTTTTTTCTTTTGATGTTACCCTTTTAGTTTCTGTAAGTGCTAATGATGTTAGCAAAGTTGTTTGATGATCACATTCCTTCTTACTAATGTATTCTCTTTAAAAGCATTTGAAATTGCCATATCACCATAATCATTTATTAAGTTACAAATACTTTGTTTAGGCAACTCTGACTGATAATGGACTGCATATTCTCCATCTTTTAGACTTAATTCCATTTTTCTTATTTTATATGGCCTTAAGTCACCATTCACAGACTCTTCAGGCCAACCATTCTTACAGTACTCATATACTTTTATTAAGCACTCATCTTTTTGTGTTTCTCTTTTAATATCATTCACATTTATATTATATTGGAGTTATCCATGATAGTGAAGAGAACAAATACATCTTCTGGTACATAGCTAAGGCTTTGGTTTTTTAAAGGTAATCGACTAAGACTATCTGCACTATTCTCAGATCCAGGTTTGTATCTCAATTCATAATTGTATGCGGCTAGTGTGATAGCCCATCTTTGAATTCTTGGTGAGGCATGCTCAGGTAGGGGTTTGTTTTCTCCAAATAAACCTAGCAATGGTTTATGATCTGTAAAGATGGTGAACTTCCTACCAAACAGAAACTTATGAAATTTCTTAACACCAAAAATGATGCCTAAGCCTTCCCTATCTAACTGAGAATAATTTTTCTCAGCCTGGTTCAAAGATCTACTGGCAAAAGCAATGGGTCTGTCACCCTTTTCATCCATGTGGGACAAGACTGCTCCTACACCATCTGGTGAAGCATCACATGTTAATATAAGTCTTTTCCCTGGGTCATAGTGAGTTAGTAAGGTGTCAGAAGACAAAGCTTCTTTTGCTGCGTTAAAAGCAGCATCTTGTTGTTTACCCCAGTGCCAAGTTGCATTTTTCTGTAGCAGCTTGTACAGTGGTGATAGTTTACCAGACAGATTCCCTATGAACTTTGCATAGTAATTTATCAAGCCCAAAAAAGCTCTTAGTTGTTGGGTATTTTCAGGTTTGGGTGCTTCTTTAATGGCTTTTGTTTTCTCAGGTTGAGGTCTGATGCCTTGCTTGCTTAATATATAACCAAGAAAACTAATTTCTGTCAGCATGAATTGACATTTATCTTTGTTTATCTTTAAACCTTTTTCACCAACTATTTTCAAGACTTTATCAAGTGTTTTAAGATGTTCACTGTCATTCTTACCAGTTATGTACACATTGTCAAAGTAAACACAAACATTTGGAATATCCCTAAAAATACTGTCCATGACAGCCTGGAAAATTCCAGGGCTGGATGATATACCAAAACATAGTCTTTCATATTGGTAGAGTCCTTTATGTGTGTTTATTGTCGTATAGACTTTTGAATCTGGATGCAGTTCTAGTTGAGTGTAAGCATGACTAAAGTCTAATTCAGTGAATTTGTCTCCTCCTGCCAAATTCAAAGAAATTTCCTCAATGTTAGGAATAGGGTACCTATTTAGCTCTATTTGCTTATTCAGTGTGGCTTTATAGTCTCCACAAATTCTTACAGAACCATCCTTCTTTAACACTGGCACAATGGGCGTTGCCCAATCGGAATAGTCTACCTTCTTTATGATGCCATAAGATTCCAATCTACTTAGCTCATTTTCAATTTTATCCCTCATTGCATAAGGTGGAACTCTAGCTTGCAGTATCTTGGATTTGTGTCTTTAATGCTTATCTTCACTGTCCTATCATTTAGTAATCCAGAATTACCAAAAACACTTTCATTTTCAGATATAACTTTATCTATTGAAGTAAAACTAGATTCTCTTGCTTTGATCACTGAAAATGTACTCTCCCAATTTAACTTAAGATCACTTAACCAGTTCCTACCTAGTAATGGTGGTCCATTTCCTTCAACCACAAGAAGAGGAAGTTTAACACTTTGACCATTATAACTTACATGAACCATACACTCTCCTATTACCGGAACGTTGTCACCAGTGTATGTTGTTAGACACTTGTGACATGGTGGTAGAGGCACTGATCCTCCTGTGACAGCGTCAAAGTCTTTCTTTGCGATGACTGTTAGAGATGCTCCAGTGTCAAGTTGGAAGCTGATGCTCTTACCGTTGATATAAACTAGTACATTGATGGGAGCATGACTTATTGATTTCACAGAGAACAGGTTGAAATCCGGCTGCGAATCAGTTTGAGCATTTTCACAGGTAGAGTGGTTCATTGGTTGGGTTAGGTAGTCTTGGTGAGAGTTAACATAGTGCTGCCTTTGGTTGCGGTACTGTCTTGACTGGCTAGATTTAGCAACAGACGAAGACTGTGCAAAGCAGGCCTTGGCAATGTGACCTTGCTTACTGCACTTATAACAAGTAGCTGACTTGAACTTGCATCGATGAGATGCATGGGGACCTTTGCATCGATGACATTTTTGATAATTATTACTAGATTTAGATCTAGGATTTGAACGTGCAGGCTGTTTAGCATAAGTTGAAATGCTCTGATGGGGTTGGTGTTTGTTGACTAACCTGCTGTTTACTGCATGGATCTCTGAGGGTGCTAGAGATCTCGCCGCATCGGATGACTGCTGGAATGAAGTTGCAAGTTGTATTGCTTTTTCTAATGTTAGATCTGACTCGAGCAGCAACTTTCTTTGAACATCAGGGCTATTTACACCTGTCACAAACTTTTCACATAGTCTGTCAGACAGCGTGTCTCCGAATTCACAAAATTCACTTAAATGACGTAAAGCAGCAACATATTCTGATATTGACTCGTTTGGTTGACGAGTCCTACCGTCAAATCTAGCTCTACATAGAAACTTTGATGGTACAGGCGCATGGTGGTCTGTTAGCAATTTGCTCAGCTCGTTAAAGCTCTTGGTAGTTAGACTAGCTGGTGCGCATAAGTCCTTTAGTAGCCTAAATTGTTGAGGCCCTATGACTGTTAACAAAACAGCTCTCTTTTTGGCTTCTATCATCACGTCGTTAGCTTCAATGTAAAAGCTTAACCTATCTAGATAATCATGAATGGTTTCATCATTCGAATCAAATTCATTTATTTGGCCATACAGCGCCATTATTCTAGAAATACTTAGCCAATATGCTCTAGCAAGCTCCTTTTTAAGTAAGCATATGCTCTTTCTAGTGGATTATTTATCCTCGTCGCCAGATGTAATAGATTGACGATAGAAGCATGTGATTGTATATAAAACGTTTATTGGCCTCCAACTACATGATGGTAACGAGAGAGGGCGGAAGTGACGAGAGACAAAGATATATAAACATATAAGGGACATCACTCAAGATAACAGTATAAATATAATACTAATACAAGAAGAGTGAGTTCCCTTGACTTCACAAGTCTCACTATATTACACAAACGAGGTACTATTGCTTGATAGCAGGGTAATCCCTTAGTTTAGCGTCGGTTATTATTCCGGAATCGTATAGCAGTAAAAAACAGTAAAACAATGCCAAAGTCTGTCACACACTTCCGGAAGTACTGTAAACCATACTTTATTTGGTGTCATCTTTTATTTTTATACAGAATGTTTAAAATTTAGATAGATTTATTTTTGTAATCATTTTTACATTTTGTAATCATTTTTACTATTTTCGTAATCTAGATTTTTTACTTGGCCTAGCAGCTAGATATCTAGCTAGATCTAATTAATTAATGGTCGCAAATCCGCTGCAAGCAAAAAACATTAAATTATTAGCCTACATTTGACTTCATTATTTATATTTATATTAATATATGTTTTTTTTTTTTTTAGATCTACTAATTTAAATCTACTATTATATTTATTCTTGTTTCCTTTTGTCGATTAAACTTAAAAAATTAAAACATTAATTTACTACAATCGACTTTCAATTTATTTATATTCCAATTGTCAAATAAACCATGGTTTACCGTAACTCTAGTTACCGAGACTCAACAAACATTACCCGATAATTTCCGACGCTAAACTAAGGGATTACCGATAGCAGGACTAATTGTGTGCCTTAAAGTCTTTAACTTTAAATTTCAGGTTAAAATTATAGATTATAAAGGTTAAGAATTCACATTTATGCCTATATTGTATTTTGCACAGGGAAGGAAATCAAATTTTAATAAATAGTTAGTTATTGAATAATTGTTATGTTTTTACTATATTTTAAATGAAAATTGAAGATTATGGAGGATATTACCAGTTCACGCTCACAGTTTATTTCTCTCTCCCTGTGAGTCATTCTCAAATGATTCGTAATAGATTCTAGGATCTGTTTCAGTGTGGACGATAGAAGCCGCGGCCTATGACAGTTCATAAACGTCAGCACGACATAGAGTCTAGAATAAAGTACGGCACAGTACCCTTAGCTGATGTAACTCCTCCCCCCCCCCCCCCCCCACGGTGATAGCTTTAAAATTCGGTAATCTATCGTTTTGGGTACGTAAAATCGCCCGCGGCTATTAATGTACGAAAACGTTACCTCATTGTCAAGGCTTTAATAGTAGTATATTGTGATACGTTTGTGTCAAATATTATAGATAAATGAATAATAAACCTAAATCAATGGCTAAATATATCGATATAGGCCAGAAATTAACTTTAAACAGCAGTGTCTGCGAGCAAGATTTGCTATATGAACAGCAGCCATTTGTAAAATAGAGAGGTTTCTCCCTGAATCTCGCGCTTAAGTTTATAAAAATAAAACTTAAACAAGATGGCTGCTATAGTAAATGAGTATGGTTGCATCTGGTGGAAACATCGCTAGTCTTCATTTATTAGTGAAAAGTTTTAATTCAATTGTTTAAAAACAGGTACATAAATGAAACAAGGAAACATTTTAGTATTTTAAAAAACATAAATCCTCCTCAAAATGTGAAATAATTATTAAAATTTAAGGAGTCACCTGCTTTTCACAACACAAGTCGCGGGCGATTTTACGTACCCAAAATGATAGATTACCTAAAATTCATACTGTGCTCAAATAATACTAACGATGTTTATCTACTAGCGTTGGATTATAATTATCGGGACACGGGTTTACCTACACTACAGCGTGAAAACCTTGAGTGTACGTTAATCACTCAGCGAAATAATGAGGTAGAACACACTTCGGTGACCACCCATGTGTCAAGGACGTAGAGGGGCGCTCTCGGGAGCCCCCCCCCCCCAGTTACACTACAGCAGAGGTGCCGCCCCTGGCTACTTAAAACTAACATAGGCGCCATCGTGCTCATAGGATAACCCAGAGTGCCAAATAGCATCCTGTCAACAATGATGCAGATTGCGTCATTCGCTAAAGTGACACACATGAACGCGCCTGATTCAATTAAGTGAGCAACTATAATCTTATCTGCAAATGGAAAGATAAAATTTAACATAGAGGACATTTAGGAACGGCTTCTAAACTGTTATTGATGAAAACTAATATTTAGAAAATGGTACATTCAGTGTAATAAATACATTACAATGTAGAATCTAAAGTACTTTTGTTTTACCTACCAGATTGCACTTTGTCAACCCATGCCAAATTATATAAATATTTTTTTCCAACATCAAAACAAACGAATAAAAAGGATTCTTCACGCACAATTAGAAATTGATTTTGTTCTTTGCGCGTTACGTCAATTAAAATTATAAGTTTGGAAGATGAAACATGTGTAGACTTTAGTAAAAAAAACAAAAAACTTTAAGAATATTACTATATGGCGAGTGTTTTACTATATGCGTATGTTCCACGCGTCCGCGACCACATGCAGAGTCGATTTCAACTTTATATACTAGACTAGCCGTCCCACCACGCGCTGCATTTGGCCTCTGTGAAAAAAACTATCTGTAAAGAACCACGAGGTGCGTGTTTATTTAGCAGCATATACCCGGCATTGTCCAGGTTTAGGAAATATATTTCTTTTGAATTAACACTAACCACAACTAACCAAAAAACAAACACAAAACATACGCAAACATAACGCAAACACAAACGAATACACTAACGCAAACACAAAAGTAAACACGAACAAAAACGCAAACACTAATGCAATTACAATATCAAGCAAACGCAAACATAACGCAAACACAAATGCAAACACAAATACAAACGCAAAATCAACCTTAAACACAAACAACAACGCAGAAGATAAACACAAACTTAAATGCAAATAAAAACGCATAGTGTTCACAGTACAGCCCGGGGCACGAAATCGCACCATGGCGGGCGCCGGCTGAGTCGCCTGATAAACACAGTAAACGACTATAATCCCCCATCTTCCCCATATTCTATCGAACTCACTAAACCGAACATAGGAGCCAAATAGCACACCGTGGGGGGCGCCGGAGGAAGCTCTGGATTCGATTGAGTGAACCACTATAGTAACCATTTTTATCCCCAGCCTATCGCACTCTTTAAAGCGAACGTATGCAAATCGCACCCTGTCGTGGCACTGGCGGATGCGCCTGATTCAATTTAGCAAAAGACTATAATACTCCATCTTATCCACAAACGGAAAGATAAAAGTTAACACAGAGGACATTCAGGAACGGCTACTAAACTGTTATTGATTATTTAAAATACCTCTGGTTTATCTACCACATTGCACTTCATCAATCCATGTTAATTATATAATTACTAACCCGTTACACGTGAATTATAATTATAGGCCTATATATTTTAATGTTACACTTCTTAGAGAAAAATATTTTATAAAATAGTTATTGGTCAAAACACAATGTGTATTACTACATGTCGACGATATTAGTGACAAAGCAAAGAAATAACTACATAGCTAAAAATCCGATACATTTAATTTAAAATAACATAGGCTATCAATACCTATTAGAAAAACCAAATTATATACATTATTAGTCAACCCAACACCAAATTAAATGCACACACTGAGTAAGAGACTTAAAGTGATTCTATTAAAACCCCGGCTGATCAATGGTATTTAATTATTTTTTAAAAAAGTAATTTGTATTACTTTAGGCCGAGGAAATGGTAGGCCTTATACATTTCACAGTGTACGTCTTGATAAGTAGATCTACAGATCTAAATCAAATTTGAATGAAATAGTTCAATTCTTCTTATTCTAAAATTGGAAGATTTTTTTAAAAATTTACTTATTTATTTATTTTAATTTTTTTTAATTATTACTTTTTTTTTGCATATGACGTGAAGAGAACAGAACATATCTAACATAGAGGCCTAATGTTCATTTTTTTTTTTTTTTTTTTAAAGTTTAATAGATTTCCTTCCACACAGTTCACTCCGTTCGAGCCAGGAGCTAGCAGTGTGGATGGGTTGCAAGTTGATACATTAAATACATGAAATAATAGTATTGCATACAGTTTTCAATAAAAGGAATACACTTTTTATTTGTTAACTTTTCTCTTGTAGTTTTTCTTACGCTTTTTTGCGTTTGAGCAATCTTCAGTGGATATTGGTTGATATTCGTTGGTAGTTGTAATTGAGTCTTTCTTAAGTCTTAGAGTTTTGTTACTTGAGTTTGGGATGTCGATTTAAAGTTGGATCGTTTTGGAGTGATCGAGATTTAATTCGTTGCTGGTTGGTAGATCTAGATGGAGATTACGTAGTAGTTGATTGTAAGTCGCAAGTTGGTTGAAGACGTCAAGTAGAAGCTTTGGCAGATTAGTTTATTTGGATAATATTGAATGATGTAGTTGTGTGTTTATGTTCTGTCGTCTGCATATATGGAAGAAATTGATTTGTCTGGGTTGAGGATGTAGAATATTTGATTGTGGCAGGGATCGTTTTCGGGGTGCTGGTCCTTGATGTGTTTTTCTATGTCGTATTTAGTGTACTTGTGTACTTTCCATGGTTTAATGTGACATCTGACGTAATTGTCTGTTGCGTTCTTTACACAACAATAAACGCTTTTCCGATTGCATAATTAAAATTGTGTTTCAACATTTGAATATGCCTTGATTTGTATTTTTCTTCTTTAAATAAAATTTACTTTATATATTTCAAACATCCAACATATTATTTTTAACAAAATTCCGTATCTTTAAATTCTCCATATATCGCTGAACATATTGATCACATAGCCTTAAAAATGTTGCGGACAGAGAGAGATGGGGGGAGAGAAAAAAGCGCGCACTTGGGCTTATATATATTAGGATCTTTTTTCCAACATCAAAATAAATTGATAAACAGAATTTTTTCTTCCGATTGGGTCCAGTGGAAGTAATTTTTGGGGGTGATCTATCAAGAAATATAACTGGTGCTAAGGGACAAGGAAAGTAATTTTCAGACACTATTAGAATTTTTGTGAATGGTGAAACATTTTCATTCCATATGACGTTAATAAAAACGGTAAGTTTGAAAAATTAAAATTTGATCTACAAAAATATATCAATATTGATTTTTATAACATTAATTTAGATAATAAACAATTTAGAAATATTACAGTATCGCTATCAAATCGAGTATTTTACTCTATGTCTTCCCACGGTTCGCTGTCACATACATACCCACAGAGCAGGGGTCGGCAAACTTTTGAGACGGAAGAGCCAAAAGTTAAAATTTAAAAATTGTCCAGTTTTTAAAGAGCCACTAACATTTTTATTTCAAGATTATGATATTTGATTAGGTATATATATATATATATATATATATATATATATATATATATATATATATATATATATATATATATATATATATATATATATATATATATATATATATATATATATATATCCTAATCAAATATCAGAGTTTTGAAATAATAAAAATGTTAGTGGCTCTTTAAAAACTGGGATATTTGGTAAATAGTAACTTTTGGCTCTTCCGTCCCAAAAAGGTTGCCGACACTTGGGCTAGAGAGTACCATGCCTTGGCGGGTAAGAAGTATTAGTAGTACTACTTACCCGTCATCGCCACCCATTTTCGATTTTTAAAAATTTCTTTATTTGTATTTAACTTAGTAAAGCTTTATTAAATTTATACACATACACTCTCTGTATCATCAATATGTTTTTGCAAGAAATGGAGGTATAAAAAAACACCTCGGTAATACAGAGAAATTGTTTAGGGTTATTATGAAGCAAGGATCTAATAAGAGTTAACTTTTCAGTTCGCTGGAGAGGAAAAAAAATTAGCTACATAAAACTTAAATAATCGTTAGAATCTAGATTATTTCTAAAGATTTCTCATTTCTACAGATTCTAAATGAAAAATGAAGACAACAATTATAAAAACAAGATTAATTGTAATATTTCAATGGACACGTGTTCATGAATCATCGTCGATAGTTCTTGGTATGCCAGTCCTTCCAGTGGGTAGACCCTTTTTTCAAACATAGCTAGGTGTGGACAGATCTTGGTAGAATGACGATTGTTGGGATTATCAAATATTCTTTTCGTCGTAAATTAAAAATGATAAACAGAACAAAAACTATTTTGTGGGTGCAGATATAACAGGAACTTACCACGAGTCGATTGGTACTTCTAGTGACGCACATCGTATTTTTATGTTTGTTTAAATGGGGTAACGATAAGGTGATAAGGTGTTAAGATACGGACCGAACAAGCGGTACCGCGAGTTTCAAGGGTTACCTCGACAAATATGTTTATTCGTTGAACTGAACATTTTGTGATCAGAAAGGCTATACAATTATATTTCATGGCTGTATAAAAACCAACACATTAGTGCAATATTTATATCCTTTGGTATTTCTTTGCTAGTGGTACTATTTAGGCCCCTATGTGGGTAAGAAATACCGTTTTATTATTTTTTTTTGTCTTAATTATCCTGTCTTTCTGTTTGAAATTACACATTAAAGTCATATATATATATATATATATATATATATATATATATATATATATATATATATATATATATATATATACATATATATTACTTTGAGATTTTTCTACTGTTTATTGTTTTAGCATAAATTTTAGAAGCGAATGCTCTTTATAGTCAACTAGGCATGCTGCCCAGCTTCGCTTAGGCTTTCGAAACGTTGAGAATTTGAATGCTTAATTAATTCGCCCATATAAGGCGCCGGTCAGTCGAGGTCAGTTTTTACCCCATCATCGTAGACTTTTCGGCCAACCGGCCCCCGTGTTCTGTCGCCCCAAGGCAAGGTCCTGCCAAATTTGAAGCGCCTGCGGCGCCGGGAAGTGCCCTGTCGGGCACCCGACAACTTAGCTTTATAGATCATCTAGATCTAGAATCTCTAGATCTATACGATCTAGAATCTCTAGATCTAGATGATCTAGAATATCTAGATCTAGATCAATATCTAGATCTAGAATCTATAGATCTAGAATCCAAATAGATAAAATAATTTTTTTAAGTTTAGGCCAAGAAAATCGTATTGTATACATTTCATAGCGTACATAGCTCTAAATCATATTTGAATGAAATAGTTCATTTTTTAAAATTCTAAACTCGGAAGATGACGTCATCAGTTTCGTGCTCTTGTTTTAGTGTTTTAGTGTAAACAATAAGTGACGTCATTGTTATATGCGTTCTTGTCCCAAGTTTATACACTTTTCCGGTTGCATAAATAATACTGTTTTTCTATATTCGAATACGCCTTTATTTTTTATTTTTCTTCTTTAAATAAAATTGTGGTTATACATTTAAAACATCTAACATATTATTTTCAACAAAAGTCCGTAAAAAGTTCTTCATATATCGCTGCCGATTCAGACGTGATGTCCGGTGACAAATTTTTGCGGACAGAGAGAGAGAGAGAGAGAGAGAGAGAGAGAGAGAGAGAGAGAGAGAGAGAGAGATGTGCGAACGTGGCCCATTATAGATTTAGATAGAATTATTGATTAGCCTAATATTAGCAGCTAGGCGATAAACTGAGATCAAGCGCCACAAACAAGGATTTTCCATTTAGCAGACGATCTCATAGAAAATGGGGAACTTTTTATTTTACAACAAACACGTCCACAATAGTATAAAAAATAGCAGTTATATGGACCAAAGTTTAGCATGGCATATTTTCCTTTTGTGAAAAGTTAATGGTCGTCGGACTATTTTTAGAGAAAGTATTGTAATCGTGGGAAAAAAAATCGAGATTTTTGCAAATCTCGACGTTTTACATCAACCTGAGTCGGAAAACATAGTTTTGCAATCTTGTCCGTGTGTCTCTGTGTGTGTAAACACCATAACTCGACTACCGTTACAGCTACGTTGATGAAATTTAATATATAAGTATTATATCAAATTTGTAGTTCTGTATCAATTTTTCCGCGATTTTCGATAACCGGAAATGGAATTTATTCTACTTTCAATTTTTCAAAAGCCTATAGGCGTACGTTTGGTACTGTTTCAGATAGATAAACGAAATTTCACATTTAGGTAAAGAGGGCACCGCCACCCCCCCCCCCCCCCCGAAGTAAGTCTACCGTCCCCCGCAACGAAATGGAATTTAAATAAATATATACTTTTGACAGTGTCCGCCCCCCCCCCCGAAAATTGTTATCCGACCCCCCCCCCCCCCCCCCCCCCCGAAAATTTCAAGTGCACCCCGGAGAAGAAAGTCTGGAAGAAAGATTGTAGGTAAAAGATCTAATTCTCTGTCAAATTTTGAGTAATTTCCATTGATCGGAAGTAGTAATTTACGCTATTTCCGATTTCTCAAAAAACGCAGGTGAATTTATAAAGTACTAATAATATTAAACACATTTTTGGGCGTTCACTTAGTGCGCAATTCTTTTTTCTACGAGATTCTATTTCTACGGGATTCTATTCTATTTTAAAAAGTGTAAGAATTAAAAATGGTTTTAAAATATTGTCTATATTCCGAGTTGCCATCCCTCGCAGTGTTATAAAAAATTATTCGAGAAAGTTTAGGGGAGATCACTCCCGATTAATTTTTTTTGTATACTAGCGTGCCGGTCCGCGCGTTCTACTGTCTCAGAAGAAAGTATGACGTAATATTTTAAGAGGGTTTCATCATTGCGTTACTAATAATAAATTCTTAGACGTGTGACCTTGTTTTATAAAACTGAATTATTTAGATGTAAACAATCTTGGATCATATTTTGTTCTTTTGTTTTCCACAGAGTATTGTTTGGATGTACTTTTAACCTAAACGAAGCAATGTCATATAGCTAATACATAATAGCTGTATGATATATATATATATATATATATATATATATATATATATATATATATATATATATATATATATATATATATATATATAGTCCTTGCAAACAAGTGACCTAAATCACGTGATACCTACGTCCGGCCGCCACGGTGGTGTACACCGGACGTAAATAGATTCGTACGTTATTTGCCGCTGCTACGCTCACAGCGCTGCGATAAATATTGGCTAAAAATTGACGGCGTCTACGATCTGTTAACTGTCGATCTCTATCATCTTGGTTTAATATAACCCTTGGCAGTCGAAATGAAGGAATCCCTTTAGATCTGAAACTTCGAGTATCACAACCTTTCACAGCATAGATCACCATTTTGAATGTAGATCTGTACACCGCGATGGCGGATGTTTACATACACGAACGGATGTGACGTCATATGCAAGGACTCTATTGTTACGACCCCCAGAGTTTCTTCCAGGCATCTCTTCGGAGGGGGGGGGGGAGGGGTTGCTACACCCCCCTCGAACAAAATGGAACTACTTTAGAAAATATATACTTTTAACTGTGTCCGCCCCCCCCCCCCCCCTGAAAATTTTAGTCCACCCCTCCCCCCCCCCCCCCCCCCCCCACTGACGACCACCTTCTCTAATCTTTTCGAACTAGACAGGGAATCGTTAACAAGAAAATAATAGAAACACGAACATCAATGACAAAAAAGATTAAAATACAACTATCTACAAAAACTAAAGTCCTTAGACCGACACAACTATCTCTTCTTATGCTGAGGTCACAGAAACAATTGAATTCTACTTCACTTGCCCCATAGACCGTCAGATTTGAAAGGGAAACTTTACTTTATGCCAACACACTCCCCATTTTCTCAAACTCTGAAAGGATTTTCCACAATGTAATGAACTTGTAATCGTCGTCTGAGTAGTATCCTATTCAAACACATCGCTAACCAAAATGACGTAGGCAACATCTTTTTTTACTCCTACAATCTGGATCGTTACATAAAAATACAGAAAAGGTCCAAACCTCATCTGACGGAGAGCAAACTGCGAAAGCTGTATGTAATACAGCTTTGATTGGCATATTTAAATATAGGCATTACCGGTCTTCGTTTATTTCACCTTAAATCATCGATCTATGTGGATTGGTCCGGCTGCTATTTCCATGTAAATACAGTTTTCCACGATAAAAATCTGATGCAAGACGACACCGCTAACCCTGCTGAAATTCAGATTTGCTAGCCAATATTGAGCGTGGGACGGCAAATCATGTAAAGATCACTCCCCTACGAAGATCGATATCGCGTTCGCCAAGCGAGTCAATTCTTTGAAACATACGAGAAGTGGACGCTTCCCAGTGAACTACAAGTTTGTGCCGTTTGCTACTGAACGCGTTTCAGGTAATGCCAATTTAATAAAATAATACTGGTATAAATTATTTTATCCCAATACCGTAGTTTTAAAAATGTTTTAGCAGAACAATATATATATATAGGCCTATATATATATATATATATATATATATATATATATATATATATATATATATATATATATATATATATATATATATATATATATATATACACATACATATATATATATATATATACATACATATATATATATATATATATATATATATATATATATATATATATATATATATATATATATATATATATATATATATATATATATATGTATTTATATATATATACATACATACATACACATACACATATACATATACATATACATATACATATACATATACACATACACATATACATACACATACACATATATATATATATATATAGGAGGGCCCAGAATTTTTTTTGCGGGGTGGCCCTTTTTATCTAGTTCCGCCACTGATTATAAAAAGACTGTAGATAAACATCATTACTATTAAGCCTGCAGTGATTAAAGCTTATACACGTACGTTTACCAGTACGTGGCATATATATAAATTTTAGGCCGACACACAAACACACACACACACACACACATATATATATATATATATATATATATATATATATATATATATATATATATATATATAAAACTGCCATCCGGTGTTAGAGCCTTGTCGTGGCTTGGCAGCTTGTGTATCCTGACCACCCCCAGAGCTATACCAGCGGGAGTGTAAACTCCTGGTAGGTTCAACCAAGCTGGGAAGGTCTGCGCGGGTAGGGATCAGACCAAAGCTAACACCCTGGTCCTCCAGGTTGGGGGGTTGAAACATAAGGCTAGCAACCTTATCTCGTAAAAAAAAATATACCGCTACAGAAACTGCTAGTACACAAATCCAGCACCAACTTGGTCAAGGGGGATCCTCTCTAGAAGAGCCCATGATGCCTACTAGTGAAAGCCTAACGGAAGCTAGTTTGCTGACAAATCTCCTAACGCCCAAGACCAAAACCAGATTAGGGATCTGGAACATCAGAACCCTATATGAAAGCAGAAGATCAGCCCAGGTCACCAAAGAAATGAGGAGTATAAATTAAAAGTCCTAGGATTAAGTGAGACACGATGGAACGGCAGTGGCCAAACTAGGTTGATCTCGGGAGAGACTGTCATCTACTCAGGCCACGAGGACGAAGATCATGAACACACGCAAGGTGTAGCCATAATGATGTCTCCAGAAGCAACAAATGCTTTGATTGCATGGGAACCAGTCTCGCCACGACTCATAGCAGCTCGTTTCAATGCCAAGGGAAGGAAAACAACTTTAATTCAGTGCTATGCACCCACAAATGCTGTAACAGATGAAGAGAAAGAGGACTTTTACAGCGCCCTGCAAGCTCAAATTGACAAATCACCAAAAAGAGATATAAAGATAGTAATGGGAAACATGAATGCCAAAGTCGGAACAGAAAATAAAGAACGGGAGCTCACAATGGGGAAAAATGGAATAGGCATAATAAATGAAAACGGGGAACTCTTTGCTGATTTCTGCGCATTTAATGATCTAATTATAGGGGGGGGGGGCAATTTTCGCTCATAAAGATATACATAAGACCACCTGGACGTCACCCGATGACAAAACAAAGAACCAAATTGATCACATCACAGTTTCCAGAAAGTGGAGAAGAAGTTTAATGGATGTTAGGGCGAAACGAGGTGCAGATGCAGCCTCAGACCATCAACTCGTGGTTGCAATACTAAAATTAAAACTAAAATCCTACAGGGATCGAGCTGATAAACCGCACTTTAAATTCAATACAACATATCTTAGGTGTCCAAAAATAAAGGAAGACTTTAACTGCGCAGTAAAAAATAGGTATGAAGCACTCTCCAGCCTGGCAGAGGAAACAGTAGAGCAAAAATGGCTAGGAATACAAGAACTATGGAAGTCAACATGCACTGACATATTGGGGAGAAGAAAAAATGAACAAAAAGAATGGATCACAACAGAGACATGGGCTAAAATTGAAGATAGAAAGAGATAAAGCAGAAGATTAACAAATGTAAGGATGAAAAAGAGAAAATAAACCTCAGAACACATTATTGTGAAGTGAATCGCATGTTCAGGAAAAGTGCAAAAGAAGACAAAAGACAGTTCATACAGGAGATGATAGAGGAGGCAGAAACTGCGGCACGACAAGGAAAAAATGAAGAGGCTCTTTGAAGTAACCAGGACACTATCAGGCAAAAACATTAATCCCAACAAACCAGTAAAGGATAAAGTAGGAATAATCTTAACAAGTGACACAGAACAGAGAGACAGATGGGTACAGCACTTTGATGAGATTTTAAACCATCCTCTCTCATCAAACATCCCCGATATACCACCTGCAAATCACTTACTAGATGTGTGTACAGATCCACCCACAAAGTTAGAAACAATAAGAGCAACAAAGAACATGAAAAATGGCAAAGCAGCTACCCGGACGGCTTCACACCAGAGGCACTAAAAGCAGACCCAGCCATATCAGCAGACATACTACATCCTCTACTTAAGCAGATTTGGGAAGAAGAGATAATCCCATCTGACTGGAAACTGGGATACCTGATAAAACTGCCAAAGAAGGGAGACCTGACACAATGCAACAACTGGAGAGGGATAATGCTTCTTTCAGTTCCAAGTAAGGTTCTGACAAGAATCATCATAGAGAGACTTAGAGATGCCTTGGACAAAAAGCTGAGACAAGAACAGGCTGGTTTTCGTCAGGACAGGTCATGTACTGACCACATTGCCACGCTGCGCATCATTATCGAACAGTCCCTTGAGTGGCAATCCCCCTTATACATGACTTTTGTCGACTTCGAAAAGGAGTTTGACAATGTGAATAGAGATGCTATCTGGAAGTTAATGAGCCACTATGGAATACCCAAAAAAATTATATCTATTACACAGAAACTATATGAAGACATCACCAGTCAGGTAATACACAAGGGAAAGCTAACAAAACCATTCACGGTGACGACGGGAGTAAGACAGGGATGTATACTATCGCCAATTATATTCTTGATGGTAATCGACTAGATCATGCTGAGGGCCACAAAAAAACGACACAGGAATCCAGTGGAGTTTCACAAAAAGGTTGGAGGATCTTGATTTTGCCGATGACATCTGCCTACTATCTCATAAGCATCAACACACGCAAGCCAAACTAAATCGGCTGTCTGAAGAAGCCTCCGAAATTGGACTAAAAATCAATAAAAACAAAACAGAGGTCATCAGAATCAATAACAGCCAGGACCTGCCCATACAGCTAAATGGAGAAAATTTACGAGAAACAAACACATTCACGTATCTGGGAAGCGTGATCAATAAGGACGGGGGAGCAGACGAGGACATAAAATGCCGTATCAACAAGGCTGGATGTGCCTTCAACTCGCTGCGCCCGATGTGGAGGTCCACGGCCCTGTCACTCCGGAGCAAAATTGGGATTTTCAACACGAATGTTAAGGCAGTGCTACTCTATGGCTCGGAGACCTGGAGGGTTACGAAGACAAATACTGATAGGCTACAGGCGTTCGTAAACAAATGCTTACGACATATACTGAAAATAAGATGGCCGGACAAAATTTCAAACAAAGACCTGTGGCAAATTTTAAAACAACAGCCGATAGAGAAAGATATAAAGGCCCGTAAATGGGGATGGATCGGACACACGTTAAGAAAAGAAAAAGAAAACATCGCAAAACATGCATTGGACTGGAATCCCCAGGGGAAAAGGATGGTGGGCCGGCCAAGGAAAACATGGAAGAGAACGGTTGAGGAGAAGGCGAAAACAGCTGGTCTCTCATGGGCACAGATTAGAGGAGCAGCCCAAAACCGAGTCCGCTGGAGATATGTGGTTGCAGCCCTTTGCTCCCCAGGGGCCACAATGGAGTGATGATAATATATATATATATATATATATATATATATATATATATATATATATATATATATATATATATATATATATATATATATATATATATATATATATATATATATATATATATATGCCTATATGCTTTGTTTCTTGGGAGGGGGTGACAATACGAAGTGCCGCACCGGGTGACACCCGACCTAGCGACGCCACTGGCCTAACGGCTAACGAAGGGGCCCACTGATAATTTTTGCATAGGGGCCCAAAAATCCTAGCTACGCCATTGCAATGACAATACCGTTTCTGTAGACTAAGTCTCCCGGCAAAGCGGTCTCATTGAATATGACACCTGCCAGTGGGACCCCTTCATCAATATTCTTTAGAGTTAGCTTATCCAACACTCTTATGTAATACAACGTATGCATCTCTTGTTCGGCAGGCCTTATTTTTATATTAGTTTATCTATTATATAATATAGTATGTTTTAATTTAAGGGTCATCTATCTATGACATCCATAATTGAGTCGGTTATAGGCTATTTCAACTCAGTGTGTGGGGAGAAGGGTCCACGCTGTACCTTCCTAACTGCAGTATGCTTGTAGGTTATCAAAACAAAATGCGGTTATCATGTAAACATCATGTATATCATACATTTACACTTCTGTGCTCGCTTTTAAGCAGCATATCTTTTCCGTTGTAAATTAAACATCAAAACATTAGAATTTGTGGAATTTAGCTGTTAAGGGCTCGATTTGTTTGTGAATTAATATGTTGGTTCATCAAAAACAATTTCATTTGGGCATTAAAAAGATGATATAGTGGTATTGGAGGTAGGACACAATGGTTACTTTTATGCCAATAGTGGTCATATCATTCATTTTTCTGGAGCCAATATGTCGGGAGTCATTTTGTCAAAAGCCAATATGTCGAGAGCCCAATTGCCGGGAGCCAATATGTCGTGAGCCCATTTGCCGGGAGCCCATTTTTCTTGAGCCCTTATGTCGGGAGCCAATATGTCGGGAGCCGCTTGGTCGGGAGCCAATATGTCCTGAGCCTATTTTTCAGGGGTTAATATGTCGGGAGTCCATTTGTCGGGAGCCTAAATATCGAGAGCCCATTTGTCGGGAGCCTATATGTCGCAAGTCAATATGACGGGAGCCCATTTGACGGGAGCCACTATGTCGGGGCCCTTTTGACGGGGCTATTTTGACTGGGCCGATTTGTCCCGGGCCGTTTTGACAGGGCACCGATGGATAGATATACTTTACTAGATCTAGATCTAGGTAATCTATCGTTTTAGTACTTAGATCTAGATCTAGATCTAAATTTGGTAGAGAGTAGTTTCACATTTATAGGAGGTTTTGTGTTTTAAAAGTTGCAAAAATGTTTAATGTACCCATTTTTTAAAAACAATTTTATTAAAATAGAGCTTATCGGCTTATCTATGTTTTCATCAGATTTAAGATGCAACCATGCGCGTTTACTGTACTGTAGCAGTCATCTTCTTTGAGTTTTTTTTTTTGTGTTAAATTATTTTTAGAGATTCAGGGGAAACCACTGAAAGCCTCTTTTTTATATATAGACTAGATCTAGTAATCTATATATATATATATATATAATTTTCTTCTGGTCTTCTGGGAGACGCTAGAAAACAAGCTGTAAACGCGCTCCCTACCATCCCCACCCCTACATGGTCTTAGTGAGCCGTGGTTCACGCTACGTTTACCTTCGTGGAGTCGGGTTTAGTGACGGCTATTAGGGGTAGATAATTTAGTTTGAAACGATTTTAAACGTGGGGGGGGGGGGGAGGGGGAGGAAGGGGGGGAGGGGGGGTTATGGTCCTTAACGAGCTACTTATAGTGTTTTAAAGAAATATTTTCAGTGTCAGCGTTGGTACTGTCGAATTCACAAATTATGAATTACTGAAAAGTAGAAAAAAACAACAACTAAATAGCGGCGTATGTTATGCCGCGGGCCAGCTCGTATACTTTAATATAGATCTAGAGATCTATATTTTTTCTATATAGATCTGGTGCATTATAGCAAATCTTTATTTTAAACTTCAAACACTGCAGATTAAATTTAATTTCTGGCCTATAGATAGGCCCCATTTTAGGTACGTAAAATCGCCCGCGACTACTACTCTGACTAGTAATGTGAAAAACAGATGACTCCTTAAATTTCAGTAATTATTTCACATTTTGAGGAGGATTTATGTTTTGAAAAATACAAAAATGGGTAAAACCTTAGTTTAGCGTCGGAAATTATCGGGTAATGTTTGTTGAGTTTCGGTAACTAGAGTTACGGTAAACCATAGTTTATTTGACCATTGAAATATAAATAAATTGAAAGTCGATTGTAGTAAATTAATGTTATAATTTTTTAAGCTTAATCGACAAAAGGAAACAAGAATAAATATAATAGTAGATTTAAATTAGTAGATCTAAAAATAAAAAAAAACATATATTAATATAAATATAAATAATGAAGTCAAATTTAATGATTTAATGTTTTTGGCTTGCAGCGGATTTGCGACCATTAATTAATTAGATCTAGATCTAGCTAGCTGCTAGGCCAAGTAAAAAAATCTAGATTACGAAAATAGTAAAAATTATTACAAAGATGTAAAAATGATTACAAAGATGTAAAAATGATTACAAAAAGAGTAAAAGTGACTAGAAACAGGTTTCGTACACTATTTTGAAAATGAAACAAGACCTTTGTAACCACACCATTATTTGTGCTTATAGCTGAGAAACTTTTGCCTGCTATTGAAAACTACCGGTACCCCCCCCCCCCCCCCACACACACACGCACAACAATGGACGGTGGAGGGATCACTGTGAGGTCACAGTAGCCCAGTCTAATACGTCATATCATGAACTGTACCGTAACTTTTATTTCCCCTCCTCCCTCACCTAGCCAAACAGCACCATCTACGTACTTGGGGTCACGGTGAGTTCATACAAGTTTAGATATCAGTGACCTTAGTTACTATGGGGGGCGGGTTAGTCTAGCCCTAAACGTTTTCATGGTCAGTCAAGCAACAACAAAAAAAAAAAGACAGGTCTTACACTCTTCCTCCCTCCCCGAATGACGCAGTAACTGAGAAATCAGGTTTCATCTGCCATATCCAGCGAAAAACGTCATACCACAGTGTAGATCCGTCCAGACTTTTTAAATTTCAAGACTTTTTCCAGACTGCGTACGAACCCTGTTAAACAATGTTTAGTAGCAGAAATATTTAGCTGAAACACTTAAAAATAACTAGTTATACAAAATGAGTAATAAAGCAGTATTTAACACGCAATTAAAATAAATCTATCAAAATTTTAAACGTTCTGTACTAAAAATAAAAGATGACGCCAAATAAAGTATGGTTTACAGTACTTCAGGTGGATACCGGAACTGTGTGACGGACTTTGCCATTGTTTTACTGGGTTTTTTTTAACTGCTATACCATTCCGGAATAATAACCGACGCTAAACTAAGGTTTTACCCAAAAATGTTCCCTTGTTTCATTTATGTAGCCTACCTGTTTTTAAACAATTGAATTAAAACTTTTCAGTGATAAATGAAGACTAGCAATGTTTCCAACAGATGCAACCATACTCATTTAGGCCTACTATAGCAGCCATCTTGTTTAATTTTTTCTATAGTAAACTTATAACGCAATATTCAGGTGAAGCCTCTCTAACTTACACTTACTTACAGATAGCCGCTTTTTATATAGCAAATCCTGCTCGCAAACACTGCTGTTTACAGATAATTTCTTGCCTATAGGCCTATTGATATATTTAAATTTATAATTATTGAGCCATTGATTTAGGTTTATTATTCATTTATCTATAATATTTGACACAAATATATCACAATATACTTCTATTAAAGCCTTGGGGGTCATCCATAAATGACGTCACGCTTTTGTTGACGATTTTTTACCCCCCCCCCTCCCCTCCGCCACACGTCACAAAAAGCCAGACCCCCCCTAAAATGACGTCACACTTCAACCTACAACCCCCCTCAAAATTGCAGTTGAATTTTAAACAGATATTTTTCTAAAATCTTGTCTAAACTATTACAATTTATTAAAAAACTGTTATCTAAAACGCGAAATAACGTCTAAAATTCCTTTTCTAACATTGCTTTTTTACTTTCTCGTATATGCGAAGTATAGAGAAAGTATTGTAATCGTGCAAAAAAAAAAATCGAGATTTTTACAAATCTCGACGTTTTACACCTCACTGATACGGAAAAACATAATTTTGCAATCTTGTCCGTATGTCTGTGTGTCTGTCTGTGTGTGCGTGTGTCTGTCTGTCTGTCTGTCTGTCTGTCTGTCTGTCCGTGTGTAAACACGATTACTTGAGTACCGTTACAGCTAGGTTGATGAAATTTCATATATAAGTATTTTATCAAAATCGTAGATCCGTATCAATTTTTGAGCGATTTCCGATAACCGGAAGTAGTACTTTTTCTACTTTGAATTTTTCAAAAGCCTATAACTTGAGTACTATTTCAGATAGATAAATGAAATTTCACATGTAAGTATAAGATCTAATTCTCTACCTTCTGTTAAATTTTGAGTAATTTCCGTCGACCGGAAGTAGTAATTTACGCTACTTCCGATTTCCCAAAAAAACTAATGTAAATTTTTAAAGTACTAATAATATTGCGCACTATTATGCACTTTTTTAAAATTAGGCTTTCACTTGGTGTGCAATTTTTTTGTCTACTAGATTTTATTCTATTTTTAAAAATGTAAGTATTTAAAATGGATTAAAAATCATGTCTATAGCCCGAGTTCCCATCCCCTGTTGTTTTATATAGGAATATTCGAGAAAGTTTAGGGGAGATCACTCCCGGTTTATTTTATAATGCAAAAGTGTGACGTCGCAACATCTGAACCATGGGCGGAACTACAGTGCCGCCAGACCCCGCCGTTTAGGGGCCCACAGCCGACCATAATCAACTTTTTTTAGCGCAATTTCCATGCTGGAGAATTGCGTTTATT